AAAATTAGGCATATGGCTTTGTCTGACAACAGGGGATACATCACAAATTGCTATTTTTTTCATGGGAAAATGATGATAAACCTCAGGTTATACTTATATGGCGGTTTGGGTTGGTGGTTTGGAAGCCTGGGAAATCAGAGTTATGTGCAAAATAGATTTGAAAAATGTTTTTTTTTGGTGTGTGTTTCGTATTTGTTTTATTTTTTGTTTAACTAATCTAATCTAATCTAATCTAATCCCTAATCCTAATCCCAATCCTAATCCCTAATCCTAATCCTAATCCCTAATCCCTAATCCCTAATCCTAATCCCTAATCCTAATCCTAATCCCTACTCCTAATCCCTAATCCTAATCCTAATCCCTAATCCTATGTCCTCTACGATATTGCAACCAAGCGACTGATAGGGATGGAGGGGCGCGAAAGATCCATCCTGACCTCCTAATCCCAATCCCAATCCCAATCCCAATCCCCAATCCTAATCCCCAATCCTAATCCCTAATCCCTAACCCCTAATCCCTAATCCCTAATCCCTAATCCCTAATCCTAATCCTAATCCCTAATCCTAATCCCTAATCCTGATCCCTAATCCCTAATCCGAATCCCTAATCCTAATCCCTAATCCGAATCCTAATCCCTAATCCCTAATCCCTAATCCCTAATCCCTAATCCTAATCCCTAATCCTAATCCCTAATCCTAATCCCTAATCCTAATCCCTAATCCCTAATCCTAATCCCTAATCCTAATCCCTAATTCTAATCCCTACCTAATCCCTAATCTTAATCCCTAATCCTAATCCCCAATCCTAATCCCCAATCCAAATCCCAATCCCCAATCCTAATCCCTAATCCTTAATCCTAATCCCTAATTCTAATCCCTAATTCTAATCCCTAATCCTAATCCCTAATTCTAAATCCTAATTCTAAATCCTAAATCTAAATCCCAAATCTAAATCCTAATTCTAAATCCTAATTCTAAGTCCGAATTCTAAATCCTAATTCTAAATCCTAATTCTAAATCCTAATTCTAAATCCTAATTCTAAATCCTAATTCTAAATCCTAATTCTAAATCCTAATTCTAAATCCTAATTCTAAATCCTAATTCTAAATCCTAATTCTAAATCCTAAATCTAAATCCTAAATCTAAATCCTAATTCTAAATCCTAATTCTAAATCCTAATTCTAAATCCTAATTCTAAATCCTAATTCTAAATCCTAATTCTAAATCCTAATTCTAAATCCCCAATTCTAAATCCCTTATTCTAAATCCCTAATTCTAAATCCCTAATTCTAAATCCCTAATTCTAAATCCTAATTCTAAATCCTAATTCTAAATCCTAATGCTAAATCCTAATGCTAAATCCTAATGCTAAATCCTAATGCTAAATCCTAATGCTAAATCCTAATTCTAAATCCTAATGCTAAATCCTAATGCTAAATCCTAATTCTAAATCCTAATTCTAAATCCGAATTCTAAATCCGAATTCTAAATCCTAATTCTAAATCCTAATTCTAAATCCTAATTCTAAATCCTAATTCTAAATCCTAAATCTAAATCCTAATTCTAAATCCTAATTCTAAATCCTAATTCTAAATCCTAAATCTAAATCCTAAATCTAAATCCTAATTCTAAATCCTATTTCTAAATCCTAAATCTAAATCCTAAATCTAAATCCTAAATCCTAAATCTAAATCCTAAATCTAAATCCTAAACCTAAATCTTAATCTAAATCTAAATCTAATCTAATCTAATCTATCTTTCTAAGTATCTGTCTATCTGTTTGTTTGTCTGTCTGTCTATCTATTTACTTATCTAATATATCATATCCAATATATCTATTTGTTTGTCTTTCTATATATCTATCTATCTATCTATCTATCAATCTATCAATCTATCAAGCCTTTCAACCCATCCCATTATATCTACATAAGCTATCATTTATTGTTTGTCGATTGGTCTACAAACTAGTATATCTTCTCTGATCTTATCTATCTAATCTAAGCTAGTCTAATCCAAACCTCTAACTTTCAAGTCTGTCTATATAATCTATCTAATCTATCTATCCACTAGTCTAACCGTGCTATATATCTATCTAATATGCCTACTCTATCCAAGTGACCTTACCTATCTATTCTATCTAAATAATCTACATGAAAGGAAAGCAGAGAAAAAAAACAGTTTCTCTTGAAACAAATTCCATTGCGGTCCTATCCTGTACAGTACTCTGACTGATGCAGGTTTCATGGAGTTTCCATGGAGTTTCCATGCAGTTTCCATGCAGGTTTCATGTTGGTTACATGCTGGGTTTGCTGATTTAGCTTGCTGGTGTGTAACCTCCATGACAACTCCCTCGAACCACCTCCATGGAACCTGCATCAGGCAGAGTGCATGGTAAAACCAACAAGTGTAGATAGAGGCATCACCTCCATAACGCACATGGAAACTGCATGAAATCTACATCAATTCTCCATGGAACCTGCATGGAACCTCCATGAAAACTGCATCAGTTAGAAGGCGCCATGCAACCATCACGTTTAGACACAAGAAACAACGGAACCTACATGAAACCTCCATGAAACCTACATCAATTCTCCATGGAACCTGCATGGATACTCCATCAAAGAAGCGCCATACAAGCACCAGGTGTAGATACAGGGAACAGAGACTTTTTTTTAGTGGACACTATGTGGAAACCATCAGACGCTTTGACACAAATTGATCGCAAATCGATCGTAAATCGATCGTAAACTGATCGTAAAAAAACGCACAAAAACTGTCATAGCATCTGTGCATTTTGATGTCGTTTTCACTAGGTCATCTGTCTTTGTTGATGTCCCTTTTTGTTTCTGCACTGGAAAAGTCAATTTCTTCCAGAGTTTCTATTTATCCTGAGTGTTCACTGCTTGGTGGTTTCGATTTTGGCAAGGTTTCAAATGTGAATTTTTGTTTGATGTCATTTTGATGGAGTTTTATGTCTGTCTCGGTGTCAACTTGATGGAGGTTCCTAACATAATATTGCAAACTAAGTTAATTAAAAGACGAAACCACCAAGAGAAATGAACTCACTTATGTCATCTTGGATTCTATGATCACCAAACCATATGAATATATGAATTGGCAAGTGCCGTTTTCTACAGGCCTTAGGTTCTTGTCGATGTCATATTGATGTTGTTTTATGGCCTTCTTATTCGTTTTTAGGCCGATGTCAAATCGATCGACAAAGGATCGCAAAATGATCGCAAAACAACGTCGAAATCCTACATCAAAATGACACATTACAAAGTCCACACTTGAAACCCTGGCCTTGCCAACGTCAAAACCGCCAAGCAACGAACACTCAGGATAAATAGAAATTCTGGAAGAATTTGACTTTTCCAGTACAGAAACCAAAAGAAACATCAGCAAAGACAGATGGCCTAGTGAAAACGACATCAAAACGCACAGATGCTATAACAGTTTTTGTGCGATCAATTTAGTTACGATCGATTTGCGATCGTTTTGCATCAAAGCGTCTGATGGTTTCCATGTAGTTTCCATTAAAAAAACTCGAACATGTTCCCTGTATCTACACCTGATGGTTGTATGGCGTCTTCCTTGATGGAGTATCCACGCAGGTTCCATGGAGAATTGATGTAGGTTTCATGGAGGTTTCATGTAGGTAACCGTTGTTTCTTGTGTCTAAACGTGATGGTTGCATGGCGCCTTCTAACTGATGCAGTTTTCATGGAGGTTCCATGCAGGTTCCATGGAGAATTGATGTAGATTTCATGCAGTTTCCATGTGCGTTATGGAGGTGATGCCTCTATCTACACTTGTTGGTTTTTATCATGCACTCTGACTGATGCAGGTTCCATGGAGGTTCCATGCAGATTCCATGCAGGTTCGAGGGAGTTGTCATGGAGGTTACACACCAGTAAGCTAAATTTGCAAACCCAGCATGTAACCAACATGAAACCTGCATGGAAGCTCCATGGAAAATCCATGAAACCTGCATCAGTCAGAGTACAGGATAGGACCACACGGTTTCAAGAAACTGTCTTTCCCCCATTTCAAAAATAAATAGACAAGTACAAAAAAATGCACTAGAATTCAATAATCAATTAAACAATCACGTGAAATTATTGGACATTAAATAAGTGTACATTTTCCGAGATACAAGATGAATATCAATTCAAAAACAAACCTAATCTGGTAGCAATCATCGTTGTTTTAAATTTGTTTTCTTCATTTTCAACGACTTCATTGTTTGCAGGGTTTGATATTTTTGTTTTTTCTAAGTTTACAAAACCATCAATTCCCAGACTTCCAAACCACCAACCCAAACCACCACGTAAGCACAAGTTGAATATATATTAATATTACGTATATAATATACGTATAGTAATTATACGCCAGCACAATGTCATGAATGTACACCATATGATAGTCATGTACAGCAGGCCATTGAGAACGGATAGAATCGGATAGAACGAGAGGTGTTCGAACGGCCCGTGATTTTGCCGCATTTGAGCATCGCTGGCTCGCTGCATGTAGGGAAAAACAAGAACTAGAAGGAACAATTGTTTTTTGAATTCAAAAAAATATTTTTTGAATTCGAAAAATGTTGAAACTAGAAGATATTTGAAAAAGGCGATGGATTAAAACAAACTGACAAAAATATGGTTCGTCTTCTTGGAGCCTCACAAAGCCTGACGTCTGACTTACGATGGCAGCCTTGGCTGTGAAATTGCAGTTGGAAAAAACATGAACACATACCCCCTGGTAATTTAACATAGCTGACATAGCTATTGAACATGGGCATTTATAGTTGATGTTCACAATTTTCCCCATGAAAACATGGTGATTTTCCATAGTTATGTTAGTTTACCAGAGGGTATTTGAAAAAAAACAAGCCGATATATACAAATGGACCTAGTCTACCCAGTCGCATACGTGAGCATCAGGGGGTACAGCTGCAACGTAGAGAAATTCTCCAGTCGTTCCCACCCCTGGCCCCAGCCATGGCAGCCGTGTCACCACGTCCCTGGATTAGCACAGGCGCGACGCATGCAACGCGAGATCACTATCAGAGTTATAGTAATTATATAGAATTATCCCTAATTGTACCATATATAATTACTATAATAATGCTCAGCTGTTGGGAACATGTCAGTTGGAGGTTTGAAGCCACATGTTCTTGGAGAGCTTGACCTTGGAATTTGTTTCAATTTGAGCACCTTTAACATTCTCAATTGGAAAGCTACAGAAATTAGCTCTTTCAGTTTGAGCTTGGAATTTGTGTCATTTTTGAGCATCTTTTGCTCAAACCACTCGGGCACGCTTTTTAGCTTAGAGGCGTCGGCATGTTCATGGCGCACATCCGTTTTGTCGCTTGCCTCATGATGATCATGATGAGGCAAGCGACAAAACGGATTCATCATCCTTGCATTGAGCGCTGGAGCTGCAGACACCAACAGCACGGGCATCGCGGGTTACTCGCAAAACACGAGCTGGAAACATGTCGGGTATCATGAAAAAATCTTCATCACGGTCATCATCATGATGGGCATGGTCCTGGGCCCTGGAGAAAAGAGACGGCACAAGATTATGACGGACCCGGCGAATTCACCCGTTGAGACAGGCATCACTTTCATCACGCCATTTGCTCGCCAATTTTGGCAACGAAGAAAGTGCGTGAGAACGCTTGCTTCGCCACCAGGGCGACTTGCAAAACAGGACTCTTGGCTGATGCTTTTGTGATTGACAAGGTCTGTAGGTAGCAAGGTTTCAGGGTGTCAAGTAGGAATAGGACATTGCTTCAATAGAGCATTGATGCCAGTGAGCCTTCAAAAGCTTGACATTCAGTGCGTGCATGCCTGATACAAAGACAAACCCTTCCAAAAACTTGTGAAGACTGGCACAAACAAGTATGGACACACACACACACACAATCCTTTTCACTCCATTTCGCCCCAAAAGTTTGGATTGCTGTGCCATTTACATCGCACTGAGGTTAAGAAGACATGGTTATCAACAAGTTCATTAAGGGCGGTTTGGGCATGGCAATTGCGGTAATGAAAGATGTGATGCTGTTGTGATATGCTAGTTTGTATGTATGCTGGTATGTATGCTGGGGGGTCGGATAGTATATTGGCTGGGGGCTGAGGCTTCCCCTTTAGGGGGAGACTGTGGTAATTAATCCCATAATCTTCCTGATAAATGGTTATGAAAATTATGTTGGTTATCCCCATAAATTTGATAAACTAATTCTATTAAATTTATGTTGCAATTATTTTCTAGGACTATTTCAAGCAAATAAGTTTTCTAGAAAGAACACCTATGAAATAGATAAGGTAAGATGATGTATATTTGTATATGCTTTGATGAACATTATTCAATACAATTATGATGATTATATTATATAATTTTTACGGATGAGACGGATGAGATGGGTTGATATGATGAGCTTGTTATGGTTTATGTTATTGGTTTTCTTAATAGTAGGTTGTTAGGATTTTGTTATTGTTGTTTTGTTGTTATGTTTTTGTTTGTATTTTGTTTGTAGTAGGTTGTTTTGATTTTGTTTTTGTTTGTTATGAATTATGGTATAGACTATTTTATAATCTATTGTATTGTCTATGTTGTTTTGTTTGTTTCTTTTGTTGTTTGCTGTTATGATTTTGTTGTTGATTATGTTATAATCTAGGGAAAAGGGATAGGAAAGACACTTAAAGAGTTATTACCTATCTATAGTAGGTAATGGAGGATACTAAAGTCAAGTGTGCTAAATGTTTTAAGGAAATGGAAGAGGGTAAATACAAAACTTGTGATAAATGTAGGGAATATATGAGGGCTAATCAGCTAATCATCAAAAGAACAAAGAAAAATATAATGAAAGGAGGAGAGACTATTATTACAATCATATAGAGGAGGCAAAGGAATATGCTAGAAATTATGGTAGGACACACAGGGAAGAAATAAATGAAAGAAGAAGAAATCATAGAGCGGAAAACATTGAACAAGTGAATGCTAAAATAAAATGGATGACCTGCCCTGTATGTGATGATTATGAAATTCAATGTAAGAATTACAAGAGACACGCACAAACACAAAGCATCTGGAGAACTTGAAGAAACAGCAAACATAAATTTCATTGTATAATTTCAAAACTATAAAAGTGAAATTGTTTTTTTTGTTATGATTTATGGTATAGTCTTTTTTATAATCTATTGTATTGTTGAGGTTGTTTCATTTTTTTTGTTTTGTTGTTTTGTTGTTATGATTTATGTTATAGTTTTCTACAAGGTGTTGCCCCCCTGTCTTTGGTATCAGCCCCATAGAATTTGCTTGTATAATAATGTGGGCGGTTAGATGAGAAAGACGGGGGAGCACAGTGCTAACTAATATATAATATATGTAGTATATAAATCTATTATATTATATATAATATATAATATACTATATTATATATATTTTAATATATATTATAATATATATATATATGATATATATATAATATAAAATATATGATATAAGATATAGTACATATATATAATACAATATATGTAATATATATATACCATATACAATATATACAATATGGATACTATGTATACCAGAGGGTAATACTATGTATTATATTTGTATGTTTACCAGAGGGTAATACTATGTATTTGTATTATATATATAATAATGGATATATCTGTATATATCTCTATATATCTGTAGAATGCTATGTATATATCTACTAATACTATGTATCTGTATATATCTAACACATATGTATGTATACGATGTGATGTAATGTATGTCACAAGTATGCAGATCTTGGAACATCATTATCCGGTTTGTACTGGGAACATTTGTCTATTTGGGATGATCACTATCAGGATCCCCAAATGGATGATTCTGATAGTGGTCGCTGGGATCGTTTATTATTGGTACCACATTATACAGACTGTATATGACTCTATTGCATGCTAATTGCGGCTAGCCATAAACCTCCTATTTCAGTTGCTATTGACGTAAACAGTGATATTTCAAAATGGAATACATGTCATGAATGGAGTCGCTGTGGCACAGGCACAACATGTAGAATATTGATGAGCTAACAAGGATATTTCAATCTCACATTCTGATGGCAATTCCAACAAGCCATGTGTATCTCGTCTATTTCTATTTATTCTATGATGTTATATTTACCATCTGGTTATTTAACATAGCCATGGAAAATCCCTGAACTAAATGGATGTTTCTAGCTGGGAAAATCATCTATTTCTATGGGCCATCTATACCATGGCTATGTTAAATAACAAGAGGGTATAATTAAGTTGTTTTCTCATGGAAGTTCCCCATTTCAGGACATAAAATAGATATTTCAGGTCAATCAGATCCAATAAATTGGGATATGTACCCGGCCTGCTAAACATACAAAAAACGATGGAAAATCACCATTTATAATGGGTAAATCCACTATAAATGGCCATTTTCAATAGCTATGTTAGTCATTACCAGAGGGTAACTCATGATTTCCCTTCTTAGACTTGACTGCCGGAGAGGCTTGGCAGTCCAACTGTTCTCAGCGGACTTGAAGAGAAGATCCTCGGCACGATGGTGAATGATGGTTTAATACTGATTCAATATGATTTATTATTACATATTATTACTACCCTCTGGTAAATGAACATAGACCCTGAACATAGCCATTGTTTAGTTGAAACTAATTTTCCCCTATTTGCCAGGGTCTATGTTAATTTACCAGAGGCTAAACATAATTCCGGGTAAATTATTGCGGGCCAATTGATGGTTCGTACTCCTAAGCTGTAGGGCAAATCATCCCGAGACGGCCTTAAATCTGGTTTGGAAAAGATTCTCTAGCTGGTTGGTGGTTTGGAGCATTTTTTTTTGTTTCCATATATTGGGAATAATAATACGAACTGACGAGCATATTTTTCAGAGGGGTAGGTTATAATGCATGATCCCCCATTAGCTATATGTAGTTTTTAGACAGCCCCATATGAATAATGTGATGATTGTGGAATGGATGAAGCCTAGGATCTTTTTCTGTTGAACAGATCAGTTCCTCATCGAACAGATCAAAAAAAATTGACCTCCTCTTTTCTGAGGATTTTCCATGTGAAAAAATCAGAGGTTGCCATGTGAAAAAATCCGGCAGAGTACACATGTAATATATGTCATATGCTTGCTCAAAACTCCTCAAAAATGCCAGAGATCGACAGCTTTGTGACTTGAAATTCGGATCCATCCCGCAGTTTTGCCAAGCCAAGGATGCAATAAGAGCTGCTTGAGGATGTACTTCCACGTCAGTCAACTCGAATGTGAGTTGAGTAGGCAGTAGGCCCAGTAGGGGTGAGTTGAGCTTGAGTTTTTTTTAGATGGCGGAACTCAATGGTTCCTACCCCTTGGTCCGATATTACATAGCTATGGAAGCCCCCATCATGCCATCTAGTTGGATGGATTCCCTTGAGAAAAACATGGTGAAACCCTCCAGATCGAAAATTCCTCGTTTACTGGATACCCAGCTTCCAGTCAATGCAGAAGAAACATAGATGCCAAAGCTCAAAAGTTGTGCGCTTGTGGGGAGGAGAGATGGAGGATGTTTGTTCGTGTAGATCCTACATGTCCTTCATTCCAAAAACGTAGTAGGTCCTGTTACACATATCATAATATATATAATATATATATATGTATATATAATTATATATATATATCAGGTTATACTTATATGGCGGTTTGGGTTGGTGGTTTGGAAGTCTGGGAAATCAGAGTTATGTGCAAAATAGATTTGAAAAATGTTTTTTTTTGTGTTTTGTATTTGTTTTATTTTTTGTTTAACGAATCTAATCTAATCTAATCTAATCCTAATCTAATCTAATCCTAATGTAGTCTAATCCTAATCTAATCTAATCCTAATGTAATCTAATCCTAATCTGATCTAATCCTAATCTAATCTAATCCTAATCTAATCCTAATCTATTCTAATCCTAATCCTAATCTAATCTAATCCTAATCTAATCTAATCCTAATCTAATCTAATCCTAATCCCTAGTTCTAATCCCTGATCCTAATCCCTAATTCTAATCCCTAATCCTAATCCCTAATCCTAATCCCTAATTCTAATCCCCAATCCTAATCCCTAATCCTAATCCTAATCCCTAATCCCTAATCCTAATCCCTATTCCTAATCCCTAATCCTAATCCCTAATCCCTAATCCCTAATCCCTAATCTTAATCCCTAATCCTAATCCCTAATCCTAATCCCTAATCCCTAATCCCTAATCCTAATCCCTAATCCCTAATCCCCAATCCCTAATTCTAATCCCTAATCCCTAATCCTAATCCCTAATCCTAATCCCTAATCCTAATCCCTAATCCTAATCCCTAATCCCTAATCCTAATCCCTAATCCCTAATCCTAATCCCTAATCCTAATCCCTAATCCCCAATCCCTAATCCTAACCCCTAATCCTAATCCTAATCTCTAATCCCTAATCCTAATCCCTAATCCTAATCCCTAATCCTAATCCCTAATCCTAATCCCTAATCCCTAATCCTAATCCCTAATCCCTAATTCTAATCCCTAATCCCTAATCCTAATCCCTATTCCTAATCCCTAATCCCTAATCCCTAATCCCTAATCCTAATCCCTAATCCCTAATCTTAATCCCTAATCCTAATCCCTAATCCTAATCACTAATTCTGATCCCCAATTCTAAATCCCCAATTCTAAATCCCCAATTCTAATCCCCAATTCTAATCCCCAATTCTTAATCCCTAATCCTAATCCCTAATCCTAATCCCTAATCCTAATCCCTAATCCTAATCCCTAATTCTAATCACTAGTTCTAATCCCTAATTCTAATCCCTAATTCTAATCCCTAATCCTAATCCCTCATTCTAATACCTAATTCTAGTCCCTAATTCTAATCCCTAATCCTAATCCCTAATCCTAATCCCTAATTCTAATCCCTAATCCTAATCCCTAATTCTGATCCCCAATTCTAAATCCACAATTCTAAATCCCTAATTCTAATCCCCAATTCTAATCCCCAATTCTAAATCCCCAATTCTAAATCCCTAATTCTAAATCCCTAATTCTAAATCCCTAATTCTAAATCCTAATTCTAAATCCTAATTCTAAATCCTAATTCTAAATCCTAATTCTAAATCTTAATTCTAAATCCTAATTCTAAATCCTAATTCTAAATCCTAAATCCTAATTCTAAATCCTAATTCTAAATCCTAATTCTAAATCCTAATTCTAAATCCTAATTCTAAATCCTAATTCTAAATCCTAAATCTAAATCCTAATTCTTAATCCTAATTCTAAATCCTAATTCTAAATCCTAATTCTAAATCCTAATTCTAAATCCTAATTCTAAATCCTAATTCTAAATCCTAATTCTAAATCCTAATGCTAAATCCTAATTCTAAATCCTAATTCTAAATCCTAATTCTAAATCCTAATTCTAAATCCCTAATTCTAAATCCCTAATGCTAAATCCTAATGCTAAATCCTAATGCTAAATCCTAATGCTAAATCCTAATGCTAAATCCTAATGCTAAATCCTAATGCTAAATCCTAATTCTAAATCCTAATTCTAAATCCTAATGCTAAATCCTAATGCTAAATCCTAATTCTAAATCTTAATTCTAAATCCTAATTCTAAATCCTAATTCTAAATCCTAATTCTAAATCCTAATTTTAAATCCTAAATCTAAATCCTAATGCTAAATCCTAATGCTAAATCCTAAATCTAAATCCTAAATCTAAATCCTAATTCTAAATCCTAATTCCTAATTCTAAATCCAAATTCTAAATCCTAATGCTAAATCCTAATGCTAAATCCTAATGCTAAATCCTAATGCTAAATCCTAATGCTAAATCCTAATGCTAAATCCTAATGCTAAATAATCCTAATGCTAAATCCTAATGCTAAATCCTAATGCTAAATCCTAATGCTAAACCCTAATGCTAAATCCTAATGCTAAATCCTAATGCTAAATCCTAATGCTAAATCCTAATGCTAAATCCTAATGCTAAATCCTAATGCTAAATCCTAATTCTAAATCCTAATTCTAAATCCTAATTCTAAATCCTAATTCTAAATCCTAATGCTAAATCCTAATGCTAAATCCTAATGCTAAATCCTAATTCTAAATCCTAATTCTAAATCCTAAATCCTAATTCTAAATCCTAATTCTAAATCCTAATTCTAAATCCTAATTCTAAATCCTAAATCCTAATTCTAAATCCTAATTCTAAATCCTAATTCTAAATCCTAATTCTAATTCCTAATTCTAAATCCTAATTCTAAATCCTAATTCTAAATCCTAATTCTAAATCCTAAATCCTAATTCTAAATCCTAATTCTAAATCCTAATTCTAAATCCTAATTCTAAATCCTAATTCTAAATCCTAATTCTAAATCCTAATTCTAAATCCCCAATTCTAAATCCCTTATTCTAAATCCCTAATTCTAAATCCCTAATTCTAAATCCCTAATTCTAAATCCTAATTCTAAATCCTAATTCTAAATCCCCAATTCTAAATCCCTTATTCTAAATCCTTAATTCTAAATCCTAATTCTAAATCCTAATGCTAAATCCTAATGCTAAATCCTAATTCTAAATCCTAATTCTAAATCCTAATTCTAAATCCTAAATCCTAATTCTAAATCCTAATTCTAAATCCTAATTCTAAATCCTAATTCTAAATCCTAATTCTAAATCCTAATTCTAAATCCTAATTCTAAATCCTAATTCTAAATCCTAATTCTAAATCCTAATTCTAAATCCTACTTCTAAATCCTAATTCTAAATCCTAATTCTCAATCCTAATTCTAAATCCTAATTCTAAATCCTAATTCTAAATCCTAATTCTAAATCCGTAAAGCACTGAAAAACTAATAGAATCCTAATTCCTAATTCTAAATCCTAATGCTAAATCCTAATGCTAAATCCTAATGCTAAATCCTAATGCTAAATCCTAATGCTAAATCCTAATGCTAAATCCTAATTCTAAATCCTAATGCTAAATCCTAATGCTAAATCCTAATGCTAAATCCTAATGCTAAATCCTCATTCTAAAATCCTAATGCTAAATCCTCATTCTAAATCCTAATTCCAAATCCCTAATGCTAAATCCTCATTCTAAATCCTAATTCTAAATCCTAATTCTAAATCCTAATTCTAAATCCTAATTCTAAATCCTAATTCTAAATCCCTAATTCTAAATCCTAATTCCAAATCCTAAACCTAAATCTTAATCTAAATCTAAATCTAATCTAATCTAATCTATCTTTCTAAGTATCTGTCTATCTGTTTGTTTGTCTGTCTGTCTATCTATTTACTTATCTAATATATCATATACAATATATCTATTTGTTTGTCTGTTATCTATCTATCTATCAATCTATCAATCTATCAATCTATCAATCTTTCAACCAATCTCATATATCTACATAATCTATCTATTTATTTGTTTGTCTATTTGTCTATCAAACTAGTCTAATCTTCTCTGATCTTATCTAATCTAATCTAAGCTATTCTAATCCAACCTCTCTAATCTTTCAAGTCTGTCTATTAATCTATCTAATCTATCTAATCCACCTAGTCTACCTTTTCTATCTTATCTATCTAATATGCCTACTCTATCCAAGTGACCTTACCTATCTATTCTATCTAAATAATCTACATGAAAGCAAAGCAGAGAAAAAAAAAACAGTTTCTCTTGAAACAAATTCCATTGCGGTCCTATCCTGTACAGTACTCTGACTGATGCAGGTTTCATGGAGTTTCCATGGAGTTTCCATGCAGTTTCCATGCAGGTTTCATGTTGGTTACATGCTGGGTTTGCTGATTTAGCTTACTGGTGTGTAACCTCCATGACAACTCCCTCGAACCTGCATGGAATCTGCATGGAACCTCCATGGAACCTGCATCAGTCAGAGTGCATGGTAAAACCAACAAGTGTAGATAGAGGCATCACCTCCATAACGCACATGGAAACTGCATGAAATCTACATCAATCCTCCATGGAACCTGCATGGAACCTCCATGAAAACTGAATCAGTTAGAAGGCCCCATGCAACCATCACGTTTAGACACAAGAAACAACGGAACCTACATGAAACCTCCATGAAACCTACATCAATTCTCCATGGAACCTGCATGGATACTCCATCAAAGAAGCGCCATACAAGCACCAGGTGTAGATACAGGGAACAGAGACTTCTTTTTTAGTGGACACTACGTGGAAACCATCAGACGCTTTGACGCAAATTGATCGCAAATCGATCGTAAATCGATCGTAAACTGATCGTAACTAAATTGATCGCACAAAAACTGTCATAGCATCTGTGCATTTTGATGTCGTTTTCACTAGGTCATCTGTCTTTGTTGATGTCCCTTTTTGTTTCTGCACTGGAAAAGTCAATTTCTTCCAGAGTTTCTATTTATCCTGAGTGTTCACTGCTTGGTGGTTTCGATTTTGGCAAGGTTTCAAATGTGAATTTTTGTTTGATGTCATTTTGATGGAGTTTTATGTCTGTCTCGGTGTCAACTTGATGGAGGTTCCTAACGTATAATATTGCAAACTAAGTTAATTAAAAGACGAAACCACCAAGAGAAATGAACTCACTTATGTCATTTTGGATTCTATGATCACCAAACCATATGAATATATGAATTGGCAAGTGCCGTTTTCTACAGGCCTTAGGTTCTTGTCGATGTCATATTGATGTTGTTTTATGGCCTTCTTATTCGTTTTTAGGCCGATGTCAAATCGATCGACAAAGGATCGCAAAATGATCGCAAAACAACGTCGAAATCCTACATCAAAATGACACATTACAAAGTCCACACTTGAAACCCTGGCCTTGCCAACATCAAAACCACCAAGCAACGAACACTCAGGATAAATAGAAATTCTGGAAGAATTTGACTTTTCCAGTACAGAAACCTCAGCAAAGACAGATGGCCTAGTGAAAACGACATCAAAACGCACAGATGCTATAACAGTTTTTGTGCGATCAATTTAGTTACGATCGATTTGCGATCGATTTGCATCAAAGCGTCTGATGGTTTCCATGTAGTTTCCATTTTAAAAAACTCGAACATGTTCCCTGTACCTACACCTGATGATTGTATGGCGTCTTCCTTGATGGAGTATCCATGCAGGTTCCATGGAGAATTGATGTAGGTTTCATGGAAGTTTCATGTAGGTAACCGTTGTTTCTTGTGTCTAAACATGATGGTTGCATGGCGCCTTCTAACTGATGCAGTTTTCATGGAGGTTCCATGCAGGTTCCATGGAGAATTGATGTAGAATTTCATGCAGTTTCCATGTGCGTTATGGAGGTGGTGCCTCTATCTACACTTGTTGGTTTTACCATGCACTCTGACTGATGCAGGTTCCATGGAGGTTCCATGCAGATTCCATGCAGGTTCCAGGGAGTTGTCATGGAGGTTACCCACCAGTAAGCTAAATTTGCAAACCCAGCATGTAACCAACATGAAACCTGCATGGAAGCTCCATGGAAAATCCATGAAACCTGCATCAGTCAGAGTACAGGATAGGACCACACGGTTTCAAGAAACTGTCTTTCCCCCATTTCAAAAATAAATAGACAAGTACAGAAAAATGCACTAGAATTCAATAATCAATTAAACAATCACGTGAAATTATTGGACATTAAATAAGTGTACATTTTCCGAGATACAAGATGAATATCAATTCAAAAACAAACCTAATCTGGTAGCAATCATTGTTGTTTTAAATTTGTTTTCTTTATTTTCAACGATTTCATTGTTTGCAGGGTTTGATACTTTTCCCCACCTGCCAGGTGAGGGTTGTTAGATTTTATGTCAGTTGCTTCCTCCTCGTCCTCCTCCTCCTCGTCCTCGTCCTCCTCCTCTCCTCCTCCTCCTCGTCGTCCTCCTCCTCGTCGTCCTCCTCGTCGTCCTCCTCGTCCAACTGCGACCCGCGATCCACAGTGTTCTCTGTCGGACCTCAACCACGACCATCCATGCTCAGTGTTCCCTGCCGGACCTCAACCACGACCATCCACGCTCAGTGTGCCCTGCCGGACCTCAACCACGACCATCCCCGCCCAGTGTTCCCTGCCGGACCTCAACCACGACCATCCACGCCCAGTGTTCCCTGCCGGACCTCAACCGCGAGTATCCACGCCCAGTGTTCCCTGCCGGACCTCAACCGCGAGTATCCACGCCAAGTGTTCCCTGCCGGACCTCATGTAGGAAGATATGGGACAAAGAATGTGCAGAAGAAAGTTAGAAAGAATGTCAGACAAGTTGTCCGAGCAAATGAAGAATGTCAGAAAAGATGTCAGATAGAATGTCAGAAGATATGATATGCCAGACAGAATGTCAGAAGATATGCCAGAAAGAATGTCAGAAGATATGTCAGATAGAAGGTCAGAAGATATGCCAGATAGAATGCCAGATAAAATGTCAGATAGAATGTCAGAAGGTATGCCAGATAAAGTGCCAGAATGTTTGCCAGATAGGATGCCAGAAGATTTGCCAGATAATATGCCAGAAGATATGCCAGATAGAATGCCAGATAGAATGCCAGAAGATATGCCAGAACATATGCCAGAAGATATGCCAGGTAGAATGCCAGAAGATATGCCAGATAGAATGCCAGAAGATATGCCCGATAGAATGCCAGAAGGTATGCCAGATAGAATGCCAGATAAAATGTCAGATAGAATGCCAGAAGATTTGCCAGTAACAAAATGTATAAATGTCATGGTGGGGATCACACGAAGTAAAGTAATTTGTTTTTTCTAAGTTTACAAAACCATCAATTCCCAGACTTCCAAACCACCAACCCAAACCACCACATAAGCACAAGTTGAAAAACAGGCATTGTTTGCCTGTTTTCTGAAGGGTGATTTGCAGGACCAACTGCCTCTCTGGCTTACCAGTGCGTGACGGATTCGAAAGCTACGGAGGTGACGCATACTTCAACGAAGCCTGGCGCCCGGTGATGATTGTCGACCAGGGTCTGCAGGAAGATTCCAAGGTGAGACGCATACTTCAACGCGACAAAGACACATCAAAAACCTGGAGAAATTAAAGTTCCCATGAATGTCCTTGAATGTCCTTGAATGTCCCGTTGCCCCAATATCCCCCGTGGTACCAGATTTTTTTTTTCCTGTAGGTCCAGTCCGAAAATTAAAAATGCCAAGTCAGGAAAAAAAATTCTCCCACCATGAATGTTGCAAGGTTAGGGTTCAGGAAAACAAATGTTGGAGCCAGGAAAGCAGGGTTAGTAACATAAGGTTGTACCACAGGATTTTATATGTTTTGGGGATTTGCTTGCCAGGATTGCATGGTTTTCCAAACAAGGTTGGGGTACAGGAAAAAAATCTCTGGGCCAATCTGTCGAACAGGAGAAGGTAGGATCTACATAAAGGTTGTGATCTTACTTTTTAATGTATTTCAGTGGTTTGTAAAAAGGTTGAATCCGATAGCTTCACTGGATTTTAATTATCAACAGTTATGAACTCCGTATGGTTTTCTTCAACAATATCCTCCTCTGTACTACCAGTTTTTTTTCCTGGGGGTTCAGTACGCTTTTAAAAAACACTATTTTCCAAAAATCTAGCAGACAGTGGGTGAGGGTCCCGGGGCATGATATGGGGCCAGGAATAAAATATCATACCAAAAAAGGCCCAGATTTTTTTCCTGAAAGCTTCCTGACGTACAGTGACAGGAAATCAATTTCTGTCTGTTGTGATTGAGGGGGGGTTGATCTATCAGTCTGTGTATGTAAGGCATCAGGAAATCAATCATGAATGACTCTGATAATGGGTAAGTTTGTAGAATTCCCAAGGTTAGTAGCCAGGAATTTGAAGGTGGATGGATCAAATGGGAGTTTACTAGAACATATCTAAATGTCAAACCCCAGGAAAAAAATGTACCATGATTAATTGAGGGGGTATGATTCTTTACATGACTTTGCAAAAGGGTACAAACACATATGTTCACCTTCACCAACCAAAAAAGTGACTTCAAGAGGCCAAGACGCAGGGGTCAAAAATAAAATCCAAGGGGCTGGACCTTTTTTGACTGAATACTTGCGGATGATCTTCAAAGGTTGGCCCCACAGGAAAAAAGTCGCATCACCAGGCCAATCATCCACTGATAGGACATGATGGGACGAATTCAAGAATTTTGTGTCAACGCGCGCCCAAATTGCAAAACACATGTTTTTTTGCTGAAAATACAGTTGTCCTTGCAAAAGGGTACAGACACACATGTTCAGCTTCACCAACCAAAAAAGTGACTTGAAGAGGCCGAGGCGCAGGTGTCAAAAATAAAATCCAAGGGGCTGCTCCTTTTTCTGACTGAATACTTGCGGGATAATCTTCAATGGTTGGCCCACAGGAAAAAAATCGCATCTCCAGGCCAATCATCCACAGATAGGACATGATGGGACGAATTCAAGAATTTTGTGTCAACGCGCCCAAATTGCAAAACAGACGTTTTTTTGCTGAAAATACATTTGTCCTTGCAAAAGGGGTACAACCACATATGTTCAGCTTCACCAACCAAAAAAGGTGACTTCAAGAGGCCGAGGCGCACGTGTCAAAAATAAAATTCAAGGGGCTGGACCTTTTTTGACTCAATACTTGCGGGATAATCTTCAATGGTTGGCCAACAGGAAAAAAATCGCATCTCCAGGCCAATCATCCACAGATAGGACATGATGGGACGAATTCAAGAATTTTGTGTCAACGCGCCCAAATTGCAAAACAGACGTTTTTTTGCTGAAAATACATTTGTCCTTGCAAAAGGGGTACAACCACATATGTTCAGCTTCACCAACCAAAAAAGGTGACTTCAAGAGGCCGAGGCGCACGTGTCAAAAATAAAATTCAAGGGGCTGGACCTTTTTTGACTCAATACTCGCGGATGATCTTCAAAGGTTGGCCCCACAGGAAAAAAGTCGCATCACCAGGCCAATCATCCACAGATAGGACATGATGGGACGAATTCAAGAATTTTGTGTCAACGCGCGCCCAAATTACAAAACATATGTGTTTTGCTGAAAATGCATTTGTCCTTGCAAAAGGGTACAGCCACATATGTTCAGCTTCACCAACCAAAAAAAGGTGACTTCAAGAGGCCGAGGCGCACGTGTCAAAAATAAAATCCAAGGGGCTGCTCCTTTTTTTGACTGAATACTTGCGGGATAATCTTCAAAGGTTGGCCCCACAGGGAAAAAGTCGCATCACCAGGTCAACCATCCATAGATAGGAAATGATGGGACGAATTGAAGAATTTTGTTCCAACGTGTGGCCAAATTGCAAAACAGGCGTTTTTTTCCTGAAGATACAGTTGTCCATGCAAAAGGGTTGCGCATTGCCGTGGGCATCTGCCGGACCGCACTCGTGAAGCCGTGGACTGAAAAACTGCGAGCTGTCAGCCGGGAAGTCAGGTGCCAGGAATTCATTTTTTTCCGTATCAGATTGAGGGGGGGAAGATATGGCATGTTACCAACGCAAGCATCCAGGAAATATTTTTCCCGAGAGCGTCTGAGCGCAGGGTTCTTCCAATAGTGGGGGTCTGTATCTTATCTTCTCATCTTCACATCTTCTCATCTTCACATCTGTATCTCATCTTCTCATCTTCACATCTTCTCATCTTCACATCTGTTCATCTTCACATCTGCTCATCTTCACATCTGCTCATCTTCACATCTGCTCATCTTCACATCTGCTCATCTTCCCATCTGCTCATCTTCACATCTGCTCATCTTCACATCTGCTCATCTTCACATCTGCTCATCTTCACATCTTCTCTCACATCTTCTCTCACATCTGCTCATCTTCACATCTGCTCATCTTCACATCTGCTCATCTTCACATCTTCTCTCATATCTCTCTCACATCTTCTCTCACATCTGCTCATCTTCACATCTTCTCTCACATCTTCTCTCACATCTGCTCATCTTCACATCTTCTCTCACATCTGCTCATCTTCACATCTGCTCATCTTCACATCTTCTCTCACATCTTCTCTCACATCTCCTCTCACATCTTCTCTCACATCTGCGCATCTTCACATCTGCTCATCTTCACATCTCCTCTCACATCTTCTCTCACATCTGCTCATCTTCACATCTGCTCATCTTCACATCTTCTCTCACATCTCTCTCCTTTTTCTCTCTCTCGCCTTCTTTATCTTTCTCTCTTTAGGCCGAGGGTGGTGCCGGCGGTGAGTCACGAAACAGCAACCCTTTCGCACGAAATGAGGGTTGATCGGCAAAAACTGAGGTAAAATTGCGATTTTACTTGTCCTGGAGCAACCTTTTCGCACGAAATGAGGGTCGATCGGCAAAAACTGAGGTAAAAGTGCGATTTTACTTGTGCCGGAGCAACCCTTTCGCACGAAATGAGGGTCGATCGGCAAAAACTGAGGTAAAAGTGCGATTTTACTTGTGCTACGGCAACCCTTTCGCACGAAATGAGGGGGGTGTTTGTTTTTTTCGTTTCGTTTTTTTTGTTGTTTTCGATTCGGCAACAAAAAAACTGCGGTAAAATTGCGATTTTACTTGTGCTGCGGCAACCCTTTCGCACGAAATGAAGGTCGATCGGCAAAAACTGAAGAAAAATTGCGATTTTACTTGCCCCCGAGCAACCCTTTCGCACGAAATGAGGGTCGATCGTCAAAAACTGAGGAAAAATTGCGATTTTACTTGTCCCGGAGCAACCCTTTCGCACGAAATGAGGGTTGATCGGCAAAAACTGAGGTAAAATTGCGATTTGACTTGTCCTGGAGCAACCCTTTCGCACGAAATGAGGGTCGATCGGCAAAGTGTAAAAGCGTCTGTGTGTAAAAGCGTCTGTGTGTAAAAGCGTCTCTGTGTGAAAAAGTGGCTGTGTGTAAAAGCGTCTGGAGCAACCCTTTCGGACGAAATGAGGGTCGATCGGCAAAGTGTAAAAGCGTCTGTGTGTAAAAGCGTCTGTGTGTAAAAGCGTCTCTGTAATACTGTGCTTCTCCCAGCCCAGAAACGTTCGCCGCCTGCCAGGTCCGCCCGTTTATACTTCTTTTTGGGGAGATGGCAAACCACTTTGGTTGGGGGGGCCCAAAGCACATATCCCTCATGACATGTTTATACATGCTGGTTTCGAGTAAGATCATTTCCTTTCTTTTCCGGTTCACATGGAAATGGGACTTCACCACGCCACCCCATCGACACATGCACGCACGATATAAGGTATACGTGTCCAGGCTCCTCCTCAGGTCTTATGACTTTCAATGGAGGTGATGGTGTGCCATGGCCTTGCCATCAGCCATGGTACATCTATTGTCACTTCCTCCCAATTGAATCTATGATAACCTTTGGCCTGCAGTGCCAGTAACCCCGGTTCCCCCGGTGTGTAAAAGTGTCTGTGTGTAAAAGCGTCTGTGTGTGTAAAAGTCTCTGTGTGTAAAAGCGTCCGTGTGTAAAAGCGCCTGTGTGTAAAAATGTCTGTGTGTAAAAGGGTCTGTGTGTAAAAGCGTCTGTGTGTAAAAGTTTCTGTGCGTGTAAAAGCGTTTGTGTGTAAAAGTGTCTGTGTGTAAACGTGTCTGTGTGTAAAAATGTCTGTGTAAAAGCGTCTGTATGTAAAAGCGTCTGTGTGTAAAAGCTTCTGTGTGTAAAAGCCTTTGTGTGTAAAAGCGTCTGTGTGTAAAAGCGTCTGTATGTAAAAGCGTCTGTGTGTAAAAGCTTCTGTGTGTAAAAGCCTTTGTGTGTAAAAGCGTCTGTGTGTAAAAGCGTCTGTGTAAAAGCTACTGTGTGTAAAAGCTTCTGTGTGTAAAAGCTTTTGTGTGTAAAAGTGTCTGTGTGTAAAAGTGTTTGCGATGCAAACTATTGTCTTGTACTTCTCACTATCCTGTCTTGCTACTCCTCTTCTCGACTGCCTATAACACATCTTTCATATATCGTTTCTAAAATTGCGTCTCCATACTAACAAGAGAAGACCCTGCTCCTCTACGCTCTCGGGCCATCCGTCGTCTAGTTTTTACTTGGATATCAGAGGGGTAAATTTATTGGATGTTGGACGTTGGGCACCAGGAAATTAGCAAAGAAAATTCAAACAGGTGGTTGGAAGTGAGATTTCGGCTTCAGGGGTTAGGAGCCAGGAATTTAAAGCTCTAAAACCTCTCTCAAAGGTTAGGGGTCATCATTTTAGACCGATTTTTTTCTAGGTTCTGGACCTCCAAAGCCTAGTGTCATCCATCTCCCCGTCTTGAAAGATCTTGACAGCATGCGAGCAAAAAAATGATGGAGCCGGTGGAAACCCTGTGACCCAGGATTTGAATGATATGACAAGAGAAGTGTTTATGCCAAACCCTCAGCAGTTTTTGAAAGGTCGTGATCTTCCAATTCAATCGACTTGACGATCTGAATGGGGTAGGTACACATGTATCATCATGAAGGTTATGACCCAGGAAAAGAGTTGTGTCAGCGCAATGGTGGACCAGGAGAAATGTTAGTCCACATAAAGGTTGTGGAACAGGATTTTAATTTGTTTGCCCGGGAAATTGCAACTTGGTTGTTGGCTTTTCGGAGCTAAATCCGTTGGGTTGTACCCTTTGGAAATCAATTCCAAAAGGTTGTGGACCAAACGGTTTAAGGCATTTTTTTTCAGGACTGGACCCTTTTGACCGGTACCACGGGGGATGCCCCAATGCCAGGTGGTGGTGAGGCCGGGAGATGATGATTGGGAGAGGTGCAAGTTTCGTTTCCGCTCTTCCCTCTTCTCTTTAGTGACCTTAGTGGATCATCTTTACTTTTTGCACCTGCAACTCGCGAATTTCTTCGTGACCTCCGTGCGAGAACAGATGTCCGAGTCGCATCCCATCCGACGTTTCTTGACGCCCTTCACTTATCAAACCATCTCAATTAACGACAACGCAGCACACAACCTGGTCGCACCACGGTCTATGGGCCCGCGCTGCTTTGCCATGACAGACCAGGGCTTCAACTTGGCATTTGCAGCAGCACCACATCTACAAGTCTGGGGCTATGAGGTTCCAGCTGAAGATGGAGGACCTTTGTTAAATTTGAGAAGTTATTTTGCCTACAAAAAGCGGCAGGGTGTTGACACCGAGTATTTCCGACAAGCCTCAGAGCTCTATGAGATCTATCATCGCTTTTTGTCTAGCTATGTGGAATGTTATTATCCGACCAAAGAGGCCTTGGTGAAAGACGAAGAGTTACTGGCCATGGCTGAGCACTTCTTTATCGACTCCGAAGCAGCTGCAGCAGGTTCCATGGGCCGACGGCATCCATGGGTCAAGATCATTGATGCAGATGCACCCGTCGAAGAAGCTTATGAGTGACTTAGAAGAAACATATTTAGAAGTATATTTGATATTATATTCTATATTTAGGCCAATTAATTGATTGATTAATATTCATCAGTCAATGTCAAATACATTCAAACACTATGCTGACGTGATATGATGATTGCGCGTAATCATTGCAAATCAGTCCTTTCTGAGGGACTGAACACGTTTTTCCTTCCAAGGGTTTCTTAGAGTTGCTGAAGAATCGACATCCAGGTTTTATCTAGACTGGCTTGCCAGTCTTATGTGGATGGTCACAGCAGGGCACGAGCAGATGGGCGCCGTTGAAGTCTATGCGCAGGATGTCTCGTGGACCTCCTTCAAATGGCTGAAAGGACTGACCTTCAACACGCCACGTCATACCTATGTCATTTGATCAACAAAGTGGTGATTTTGCTTGCAGATTTTGCAGAGCTAGGAGTTTGACTAACATAAGACGCAGTCAAACGGCACAATGGGGATACGCTTAGCATAAACAAATGATACAGCCAACTTTTAATCATAGACGGCTAGTCAATGTTTGGATTTCACCACTGAGCTGGGAGCAAATCATTGTAACCCGCATAGCTTACAACTCTTTGGGTTAACCGTAGGGGCTTGCCAGGCATTTCCATTTCAACCCGAGTATACCCCCATTGCTCTCTTCTGTGCAGGATCAACTCTGGTGTTTTGGTGGGGGGGGTTGGGGGGATGGGGCTAATAACATTCCTTTGATTCCTTTGATGTTTGATGTGGGTTTCGATTTTCCTTTCTCCTCAACCTTTCTGCTCAGATTTTAGCTCAAGCAGCGAATTTGTGTGGACAAACCAATGACAAAATCCATGAAGATGCAACTGAAACACACAGCAAAGACATCCAATGAAACGAACATGAAAACCACTTCCAAGTTCGGGCAAACCTCAACGGCGAACCCAACTCTTTGCTTGGGTATCCATGCACAAGCTGAGTCCAAAGTTGTCTATAGCTCCACACGTATGAAATTGCCCAACAGGAGCAACCTGCGGAACGAAACAGACAGCTACAGCGCAAGCTTTACTGATGTCCTTTACTTCGACTCCAATGCCCAAGTTGATCGGAGATGGAGATGATTGGTCTCATTTGTTTCCAAAGGCCTCAGTCTTGGCTGGTCGAACTCCGGAACTTTGCTACAAGAAGTTTCATGAGGACTTGAAAGCCATGTCTTTGAGGTGCGAACAGTACAATGCCGAAGCTCACACCAGACCCTTCCCAGAGTGCTTTCCAATGTACACCAACAACCCAGGTGTCTTGGAGTGTTCCATCAGTGTGTGAGAATATGTGAGACCATGTGAGACCTCAGTGCTGTAATGGTGCTGTATGATCTGTATTTACCAATGCCAGTTTCACGAAAGATCGCGAAAGTACAATGCCACAACGCGTTTTCACGCTTTTTCCATTTTTGCAGTGCACGCCAATCAGCTTAGACAAGCTCCAATCTTTTTGGACAACCGATACCCACTTGGATTCGGTCAGCTGAGAGCAGTGGTGATAATGACCTCATCATTTTGCTTGAAGCCGAAGTAGCCGAAGTAGTCGAAGTCAGCATCTCCTCAGGAGTCTGGACGCACATGGACCCATGAGACACAAAATGACGCACCAACAGTGCAAAAATGTGTGAGACTGCAGGCTGCATGTACCAAGCAGATGATTTAGGACTTTACACGTGGGGAAAAGGGGCAACGGCAATAGTTTGGCTAATTCGATGGTAGCTTCGGATCAAGCTTCATTCAGTTGGCCTTTTGGCTTGTTTTTGGCCTTGTTTTTACCAATCGCCACCAGGTACGTTGCCAATCTCGCCGCGGTGGAGCAGTTTGCGCCTTAGGATTCACGCGGCAAATGCGCGGCCAGCAATCTCACAAAGCAGCAGAATTCCTCAGACATGCCAGTAGACCATAGTGGACCATAGTAGACCATAGTAGACCATAGTAGACCATAGTAGACCATAGTAGACCATAGTAGACCATAGTCGAAGCCATAGAAGACCATAGAAGACCATAGAAGACCATAGAAGACCATAGAAGACCATAGAATAGTAGACCCATGTGAGCCCCATACTGTCCAAAGTTCCTTTGCACAGGTTGGGAAAAAGCTTAGAACTATGGACGACATAGCCCGTTTTCTGCCGTTTTCCGCCAACTTGACCCAGGCTGAAACTGGAAGAAGAAGAGAAGGTGAGCAGATGTCGAGCTGTTGCTGGTGCGGAAGCCAAGGAAGCGCCCAGCAGCCGCAAGCAGCTGAGTAATCGGAGCTGTAGCCGTTTGCCCACCACGAATTTGATCTTTGAACCAGTCCAAGCTGTCAAACTGTTATCAAGTTGTGAACAGGAAAACAGGACATCAAGAAGTAAAGAAGGTAAAAAGGCGGAAAAAGGCCAGCTTCGGACTAGTTAGATCTAGTTAGACTAGTTGTCATTGTTTCTCAAGAACCAAGAGGATTTTCGCTAGAAAACGGAACCAATTTGAAACGGATCCATACCAATCCCATCAAGTCCCAGAATTGGGTGGATCTTTGATCGCTGCCATGGTGCCATTTGATTGCCGGGAGCTGACCATCCTTGTGAAGCAAATGACGAGGAGTGAGACGGAAGTTACGATGGAAAGGGATTTGGTTGCACAGAAGAGCATAGTTAAATGTTGGTCATGATATCATTCAGAATGTAAATGTCTACAATACACAGGTAAGAGGGAAAGTCTACACAGGAAAAGAACCATGCTTTCTTTGTAAGTCATCCGGTCTTCCGTTTCTACGAATCAGCCAAAAACACTTTTGTGTGGAATTTTGGTAAGGCACACATAGGCACACTATGTTTGACACTATGTTTGCCTCTGGCCATTTTGGTCTCCTTGAAAGGAAGAGGCAATGGCAAGAGGCCCTGCACATGATGCAAAGTCACACGGGAATTCGTCCAGATCTCCTCCTGCTGACGCTTGGCATCTCTTGGCATTCGATGTCAGGACCAAAGAAAGGGACGTTTGATGTTGTATGATGTCAATTAATGTCATAGATTCACCATAGATTCATAGATGTTGTATGAGACTTCCCTAGTGCCATAGCTACATGCAGCATTGAACAGCTGAGGAATACGGTTGCAAGCAGTCTTGCAGCAGGCAGGAGAAAACTGTTACAGGATGTTCTATGGACGCTGCCAAATGTCACCCTTCAGTTAGAGACCAGGAGTTTGGAACTTTTTTCAAATACCAGCGGACTGTAGATTCGATCATTCAACACCAACTTGGCAGGTGATGATTGGAGAAGGTGTTGCCACCAATTGGAGGAGTGCCATCTGCCGTCAAGGATAGTCTGTGAGCAGGACATGGTACGTGTAGTTGAGGTTTCTATACAATGTCTCACATTCCTTGAAAGAAATACAATAGATCAAGACAGATCAAGAGGTCCAATTTCACTCTGTCACTGACGGTTGAGGATTTTCGAGCTGTTGGCTACCAGACAGATGTCTTCACTGTAGGCCTGGACTAAGAAGTCAATTCCTGCCATTTGCACCATTACAGTCATTTTGCACCTGTGGTCCTGTGGTCTTGAACTTGGTGTAGCTGATGTCTAGTTGCGTAGTTGGCAGGCGCCGTATTGACAGCCGCTGTGAAACGCAAGAAGTGGAGACAGGCAACGGAAAAATCCAGGAGCCGTGACTAGCTTCCAGCTGGCACCTTGAGAGTGTCTGCGTCGTCAGGCCTTGGCTTTGGGCAAAGAAGCTCGGCAAGTTGCAAAAAGTTGAACAAGCATGATGAAATATGATGAAGCAGATGAAAAACATACTAATAATTACTAATATGAAGCAGATGAGAGTGAAGTGACCAAAGACCATTTGCAGCCAGAGCCTAACTTATAAGTTTTCAGCTGACCAAATGGTCACTTCTTCACTTCGCTCATCGTCTGCACCCTTAGGATGAGATGAACATTGCATCTCGGCACTTGGCGGAAGTCGATCATGTCGATCATCGGGTGTTGGAAAACAAATTGCCATGCTATGCTTGCTTTACTGATGCTTTACTGATGCTTTACTGATGCTTCTTAGTGTTGACTCGGTGTGTCTTGTGTTTCATGTGGCTCCCAGCCCCGGGTGTGGCTGCAGTTTCTTGGGGCCGTCCACATAGCAAACATCTCAGATGGGTTCCGAGGCCATCAGCAACAATTTCATCAGCGCCACGGAGACGACGGCAGAGACAGTCTGGCCATGGGCTTTGAAGTCCTTATCTCGCTGCCTGACACATGGCTTACGCCTCTCACAGGCCGCTGTGGAAAGCTATGGACATTGGATGAAATTGAAGCTTGCTATAGCTTGCTGAATTTTTTCAAGAAAGGTTCTGTTGTTGCGATGACAGACTAAAGCACAAGGACTTCACAAAGTTTGTGAGCCACCTCTGCTCAGAGACTTTGTTTCTGCTCAAGGCGAGTTACGTGGCAGTCACCAGCCTTTTTCGTGGAAGCTGGGACCGTGCAATGCACTTCGCGGCACTGCAAGGTGGGCGGCAGGTGATTGCATTGTCTTCTGAGATTCCATCCTGCTGAGTGGCTGGGAAAATCTGGTTGGTAGCTATGGTTGCACGACCTTGCACGACCTTCGATCTACGTCATGAAACCAAGGCTTTTACAGTTCCAGATTCCTGGAAACGTTGAACATTGTGCTGAGTGCCTGCGAAGTAGCGTGCTCTTGGGCTACTCGACAGCTTTAAAATCAAATTCTGATGTGTGACATGTGAAGAGATTATCTCATCAAATGGATAAAGAGACCACAGATGCAGCCACCGAGAAACGATGAGAAACGCGGGATGCGGGAAGCCAAGTAGGTCCCAAATGGCTTCACCTGTGCCGCATCCCAAGGACCGTGCTTTGGCTCTGGTGACGTTGGGCAATAATGGCGGCCTCCAGACTGACGCTGCGCTGGAAGAATCTGGAAGGGCCTGTTATGGGTTTCTGACGTTCATCCTGAGGCTGCCACAGACAAACCGTGGATGTAAAGTGCAACGAAACACAAATCCAGGCAGTTCATTGATTGCATCCCGACTTGCGTTGCATAGACATGTGAATCCACACTGAATCCCGGCTCATTTTTCAAGGTCAACGATCCTCAAGCCCATCTTGAGCCCAATTACTGTTTGGTTGGCGAAATCCGCTAAGAACCCGAAAGTATCAACCCATCATCAATCCGTGGATAGAGTTAAGGGATGATACCTTCATCAAGAAACTGGTGACAATCACCAACTACATCCAACTAATTATACTAAAAATCTTGAAAACGATCTTCTTTTCGGTGGAAAATACAGGAAAATACCAATTGGCCGGCTTAATCCAACTTTCTAAACCATGGATTGACCAGGAAGAAACAGGCCGAGCGCACCGAGGACACGATCAGTTTCAGCTCTTTAGTCAGCGCTTGTGAGAAGGCTCTGCGCTGGCGGTGGGCGTTGCAAAGTCTGGAGACAACCCTTGAGAGGCGGAAGCGGTGCAAACGGCTGGCATTTAGGGAATTGGCTATTGTTCAGAGATTGGAGGCAGAAGCTATTCAGCTATTCATGATTTTGGATAAGCATGAGGAAATCTTGGGATAAGTTGAGGTATGACTCGGTATGACAAGGGGAAAGGCTGCACCACTAATTATTTAGTTGGCTCGGTAGCAATTGTTGGTGCGTAGGTTCTCACCATCCCAACAAAATTGCCGTTGTTTTAATATCCCGGACTTACGACCCATGAAAAAATCAATTGACTATGTTGAGATTTGTGGGTCGAATATTCCTTTGACTTTGCAAAGATGCCTGATCTTTTGAGTGGTAACCACCTGCTTTCAAAAAGGTTTGCAAAACTGTTCTGCAAGAGACTGGAAGCGCTTTAGCCAGCGTCTCATAGTTCAAATCTTGCTCGCTGTGCCAGGCACATCTTTGTCGACAGGACGGATCTGTTGTGGAGTCCTGTTGCTACTATCAATATCTATCAATATCTATCAATTACTATCATAATATATTCAAATATCACCCAAATATCATCCAAATATCCAAATCTTCACGGGGCCAGAGTCAAGACCCCTGGAACTGGCCGGAACTCGACGGAACTGGATGGACTTTTGCTCCCGTGGTGATCCATTTTTTGCGTTTGGTGAGGACACTGCTGAATGCTGTCATCAGTGCGCAAGAGAAAGGCAGCACCTGGCTACGCGCTGTGACTCTCACCATGCAGATGAGGTCTTGGGTCAGTCACATCGCACATCATCCACAACCCGTGATACCAGATGATACCCGTGTTGAGATGCCAAGACACAGCGAACTCCGCACTGTAAACAGAACACAACATGTGCAACATGGCCTGACCCATTTCATTGATCCGAAAGTTCGGCGACTTCCAAGCTAGCTTGACAGTTGTTGATTGTGGTATATTGTGGTTGATGGTGTTGGTGATGGCTGTTCAGAATTCATGGTGCTTCAGAGTTGCTACAGTAAGCTGAAATTGATGTTTGCATATGTTGCATATGTTGCTTTGGGGAGTAATGGTTGCTGTCGTTTTGCCAGGCGCGTTTTTGGCTGCCAACCCAATGTGGTCTCTTTCAATGCCGCCTCCAGTGCCTGTGAGAAGGTGCTTAACCCACCATTTGGGTGTAGATTCTGTACGAAATCAGTGAATAACATTTTTGGAACGGGGGATGGCATCATGTTGAGGCAAAAACATCAGATATCCCAGTAAGCCTGATGTCATGACTTTTGACTTGACGTTGCTGGAGTTGAGGCTGCAGTTTTGTTCTGGCTGCGAAGCCGTTCGAGCCACCAAAGCAGCCAGGCATACCGATGGACTTCCAGCATCCAACTCTTCGACTGGGCAAAGGAAAGGAGCATAGAGGTGTTTTGGCTTGAAATGGCTTGAACAATCGTGTGAACAATCGTGTGAACAATCGTGTGAACAATCGTGTGAACAATCGTGAACATCCAAAGTTTGATGGAAATCCTGAAATCCTTCATCCTTCATCCTTCTTTCGGTTGTTTTCACTGACAATGCCTCAGGTAGATACGATCAGTGGGAATGCTTTGCTAGCAGCATGTCGTGGAGCAAGACGTTGGTGTGAGGTCGTGACATGTGACCGGATATTTGCTTGAAGCCTCATCCCAAGGAATTCATTGGTTTCAAAAGAATAAACTTGAATTAACATACAGATACAAACGATGTTTTCTTCTGTCATCTTTGAGCACTTATTCATCTTATTCATCATTTGCTTAGAATGATGTGCATGTGATGTGCATGTGATTGCCATTGCCCACCATAGCCATTTCCCCATGGCCATGGCCATGGCCTCATGGCCTGACTGGAGGTCTTACAGCTGTTGGAGGTCTTTTTTGTTTCCAATCTTTTCCTGGACGACTTGGCTTTGCGAATGGCACTGGAGGTGCAGTTGGAGCGTGGCGACCGTGGCGACCGTGGCCCAGCTCCAGTGACCATGGAGTTGCTGGGTAGTCCCTGGGCTGCATATTGGCCATCCTTGGCCATCCATGGCCATCCGATTTTTGGGTTTTCTTGGGTATATTAAGGTTGACCATGGTTGACCTGTACCATCAGGGGGAAGAGGTTCTGATTGTTAATTACCGGTTCTTGCAAACCCAGTGATAGAAGCTTATGAGAACTTTAAAAGTTCATAATGATAATATATATATATATATTATAGTTCCTTAGTTCCATATATCAGTCCCATAAAGTCCGGTTTTCTCCTTGCTGCAAGGCATGGATCACCTTTGGATCAACATTCTGAGCCGCAACGTCTCAAAGAGTTGGCAGGGAATCTCTTGAGGTCGCTGCCACAACCATCTGGATGAGGGTCCAGACGTTAACCCCAAATTTCTATTCTTCAGGACTTTCTCAGTGATGAGGTTTGGGTGTCCCAAAATCTTCGGATCTCCTTCCCATCATTTCCCATCCAATTGGTTGCTTTTTGAGTAGGGAATTCAACTGTTTTGGGACATCCTCTCAATGTCTCTCAATTTTTGGGCATTCCCAACATCCAACAGCTTCGAGTGGTGCATGAAGCACACTTGAAGCAGCCAAGAACACGAATCCAACTGATCATGTGCAGACGAAAAAAGGAGCTGTACGACAGCATGAAGGGGCCATTGTGGGCATCCTGGGCATTTGGTGACAAATTGGAACCCACAAACTGCTAGGACAAGAGGCCAGACATGTCAGAAGTGTATGTCAATGTGTCTGTTGATTTTGTGGTAGGCTACGCAATGCTACGCATCAACCAAGCCAGTTCAGTGTGTACCTCTATGTTGTTAGCCCGGTTCGGTTGATATTTTGAGGACATGCAACGGATCAAACAGTTTCAAACAGTATCTCCGGTATGGCTTGACCGTCACTGAGGCCTGTCTGTGGGGGAGTATGCAGCACTGACCTGCGCTGGAGTCTTTGACTTTGAAACAGGTCTTCGGCTCATCAAGGTTGGGATGGACCAGCGGTGTGAGACCATGTGAGACCTGATTTCACTTGTGGCTCTTCCATGATTTTACGACTAGCATTGTGCGAAGTGACAGGGTGATATAGGGTGATACCTAGGTGAAATAGCTTATAATACATCATATTTACATATTTACATAGCTATAGAGATATAATGAGATATAGATACATAGGCAATCATAGACACATAGATGTATGGATGTTTGCATACGCAGATAAAACCCCTCGCATTTAAACCAGTTTGAACCAATTTGAACCAATTTGAACAAGGATTTCCTTCCCTTGCAGATCCTTGCAGCCTGGCAATAGGATCGTGCAGAAGCCATGGACTTTGCAGTCGGCTCTCGCCCTGGCGCCAAGGCAGGTTTGGCTTCCGATTTCCTGCGATCGTCCGAGAAAGTCTCACATGTTATCGAATTAATTTATAAATACATATTAAATACATGATAAATATACATGATTAATACATGATAAATACATGATATAATTTGATACAATACCTTACTATATTATATTTACTATAATATATCCCGACATATCCCGTTTAATGTTTATATTTTGGGTGTTGTGGGATGACCACTGAATGGTGACCGGATGGCGCCGGCCGGCAAGGCACAGGGCATGTGCTTGGTGGTTGGCTTGGACAAAGACACGGTGGAGAAGCAGTGCAACTTTCCTTCAGACTGCCCATTCTGGCGAAACCAATGGGTTTATCGAATTATATCAAATTTCGACAAATTTCGACAAGTTTAGACAAGTCAAGTCTGCACATTCCATTCCAAGAACCAGTCATATCCAGTCGTTCTATTCTCAAACTCGAACTGGTTTCCATTTTGAAGAAAAGCAGTTTGGGTCGCCCTTTGCGAGAAGCTCACGGTGGAAGTTGGTGAAATTCTTCCGAGCGAAGCTGGTCACATCTTGAGATTGGCGAGCTGTCAGAGCTACATGAAGCTGGTTGCACAGACGGACTTACCATGAAATATCATGAAATGGGTAGTTCAAGCTGAGACTCCATCGATTCTATGTCGCTTTTGAGGTGTGCCATTGATATCCCATTAATTGATATAATATTAATTCATTTAGTTGCTATTAATTGATTCAATTGATGATGCCCGACCCCGAATCCAGACCCAGGGATACCAAGGGCACGGCCAAGGCAAGGCCAGCTGCAGTAAGGGCGAGACGTGCCAAATCGCTGCATGTCTTTTCTCAAGAGCCTTCTCAGTTGCTCGGCTGTCCGTGGTTTCTTGGGAAATATATGGAAATATGCTCCCAAGCTCATCCAAGCTCTTGGTTTCTGATATTTTCTGATACAGTACTCGGAAAAAAAAGCGTTGTCACATCGAATTGTGTTAATTGTGTTGATTCATCACTTCACGCACCTTCGATTCAGAACATTTGCTGCAGGTTTCAGGCAGCCTGTCTGCCATCGAAAGCTTTGTCCAGAATGCAAAAGCTGCTGGAGCCCTGCCCTACTGGCCGAGTTTGTGTCAATTAGATTCCGGTGTTGGTAAGTTGGAAAAGCCTCAAGTGCACCATTTGACACTCAATCTTGGTATGGAAACCAATGGAGCGCCCAATTTTTACATCATTCTTGACCCCTAAAAGCGTCGGAATTGGAGTCAATGTCCTTCTGGATATGGAAATTCCATGAAATTCCCAGATTTCATCGTATCACTTGGCATTGAAGCAAGCTTGGCCAGGGATTGCGTCGTCTTGAAGCAAGCTGGCGCCTTCCACACCAGTGAAATGGCTGATGTCCAATGCTCAGAGGACCTGACAGTCACAGCTGTGACCCGAATAGGACCCCGTGCTGGGACCGCTGTGAAGCCCATGAGGTCAGAAATATCCTGGTGAACAAGTTGGACGCACAGCCAGCAAACTTTCGCTGCCCTGTGCCAAAATTTGGGAGCTGGGCAATTAGCAAAAGAATGTGGGACTTTAAATCATGAGTTTTTGTGGATCAACTTTGATCAAATTGATGTCATGGTTCCATCCAAAATTCCATCCGGATGTTCTTTTCCGATACGCGAGACATGCCATTTGTGATGATTTTGTGATGATTTTCACCAGGGGATGCCACGAATCTGTGCTGGTCGGTTCAACGGGCCGTTCAACTGGGAGCCAACTTCCGCCAGGCGATCAAAGGAAAGATGATGCCTCCACGCTGCACTGTCACTTGGATCTATATAGGATCTGTTGGATCTATTGGATGGTTGGAGTCAGGGTTGAGTTTGATTTCGGGATTTGAACACCGATTCTTGCATCATGATATATATATATATATATAGTCACATAGTCTTTCTGTGTTTTTTGGTAACCAGCTCAAGTTTTCTTCAAGTCCAAGTATGGAAACAAGAGCTCCAACTGGCCATGGGGATGAAGAGATTGTACATCTCGGCAAACTTTGGTATCTGATGTGTATCTGATGTACATCCTTTCGAAAGACAGTTCCAACTGGTTCAGGTGTATTGCAATGCCGGTGCGAAAGCCATTGGCCCACAGAGTTCAGTGCAGGCGTGCTGACCCGTGATGGTCCCCGTGATCAACGTCGTTTGAGATGAGAATTGAGAACATGTGAGGCCCATGTGACAACAGCATAATCTATATATATATAATGTACAGTATTAATTATAAATATAGTATTATATATAATATAGTATTAAAATGTATGTTCTAAGTGAGAGAGTTCAAGTGATTCTCATTGTTCAATATTGTTTATCAGATTTGAACAGCTCCGGCAGGACATTGTGAAGATGTTGGCTGAGCAGATGGTCTCGCCGGTGCTTTGGGAATTGTCCATGCAGCAAGCCATCAGCGATGGCTGCACTAAGCAACTTGGCTCCCATCAACTCCCATTGGTCAGTTCGTTGACCACAAAACATTTTCCTAGTCTTGACGTTTCATGATATTTCATGTGAAGTGTTTGGTTGTTCTTTGCTATTCTCTACTATAGTCTCATTCGACTTTTATACTTTTATCGTCTCAAGTTTCGCTGCATCTCATGGCATTCAGCTTGTGTAGCTGGAGGTTCTATGAGCTAGGCCCTGGCACACAGCTGAAGGGCATCATGAAGAGGATAGACGGAAAGATTGCGGACAAGATGTCCAACATCTCTGTCTGAAGTGTGAATCAAGCAGTGATGTGAACATTGAATTCGATTGAATGAGACTTCACAGGTGGCTTGATTCACTACTTCATGGTCTTTGTGACCTTCTTCCACTTTATTTTGAAGATGAAACATCATAAGCATCCCATCCATCTTGTATATCTTGTCCGAAACTGAAGCAAGATAAGTCAGCAGGAAGTTGTAGGTCAATCTGATCAGAGAGAAACAATCAGAGGCCATTCATACCCTTCACGGTTCAACAAGGTCATGACCGATGACAAAAATCGACAAAACAAAATCAGCGTAGACAGTGCGGGTTTTTTTGAGCCGGCGTGGCTCAGTTGAAAACTCCAAGACATTCACGACCGAAGATGTGTCGGAGAAACAAAAAGCGGCGAAGGACCGAAGGAGCTTGATGCAACCAATTTGTTTCGGCAGGACTCACTCTTTGTCATTTTATGATTTATGAAACTGCTGTCCAAAATGATTCAGAATGGTGCTCCTCATGTGCGTGTTCCTTCTGAGACCTAATTGGTTTTGTTTTGACCCTGGCCCAATTCCTTTCAGCATAGAAAGGTGGAAATTGACATCGATCATAACAACTTCTAACAGTCAGCTTCGGACTTCGAATTTGCCCTTGGTAGTGCTTGGTACTTGGTAGATCTTGGTAGTTGAAGCTGTGTCAAGCCACAATTCACCAGGCACCAGGGAGCTCTCCTGTGATCCCACCCCTGTGGATTTCTGGGTTGCGAGCCTTTTTGCACAGCCAGGCGGCCCTTATCGGCCTTTTGTGCGGAATTGTTGGTTCTTCCTGGGCACCTTGACATCGGATGCTTGTCTGAATGCCTTTAGGACCTTTAGGGGTTTTCCTCTCGCAAGGCTGATAAGGTTGCCAACTCCGACTGCGGATGTTTGCTTCCATCACTGCCATGTCTATCATCGATGTAGTTGTAATATGTTGCAATTGTGTTGACAACGTCGATGTCAGCATTCTGCAGCTTTGGATTTCAAGACATCGGCTTCTCGCCAGTAACTGCTAGCGAAGCAGAAGCAGCAGAAGCAGCAGAAGCAGCATGAGCCTCTTGCGAATCTTGCGAAGAGGCAATGTCTTGGCCATGGGCGTCCGTCGAGTGGCGACCGAATCGAGTCGCACGATGCCGTCCTGGGTGAAACCTGTCTTTTGGGCTGGCATCGCTACTTCACAGGACCTTGTTTTCCCCTGAGGAAGAATAGGAAGGTAGTTGTTACAAAGTTTCAACCGAAGAAGACACTCTACACTTTAAAACCTCTGTAAATACATATACATACTATAATTGCTCGTCAATCTTGTCAGAACTGACCATGATATATGGATATATATATATGGTGGTTTCCCCAAGCAGAATCATTTCAATAAAAAATATCAATACATTTCTTAAAGGATTGCCATGGATTATGATCCCCTATGATTCCCTATGATTGTTGCAGGTTGGCACGTTCTTCCTGTTCCGCGATCTTGCAGACCTGTCCCAATGGGTTGTGGAGCCACCACGCTCCAGCACAATCTCCACTTGGAGATACAAAAACCAGCTGTCTGCGGCGACTTTGTGTCCACTAGGCTTGGGAGGTCTCCTAAAATTGGCATATCCGGCAGTGATTTCGTGGCCCTTGTTTTTGGCGATTTCAGGATGGACAGGATTGCTGTTTTACTCCGGGGTCATCAACCCACATTTCATGATGAGAGCTAGGCAGGGCTTGGACAAAAGTCAGCTGTCGGTTTGTTTAGTGTCATGCAACAATCACTGGCTTATTGTCTATGAAACTGTTTGGAAAGGCTTAAAGGCCGTGTCAGGAATTTTGAGATTTCCGACAATACCCCAAATGGCAACTTTGCCAGGAACCAAAAGGAGAATGCAGTTTATGTGTCTCAAGAAGAGGCGATCAAACTACTCCCCAATGGTGCAGATGAAACCTGCATCATTCTGGAAGTGGATGGGAAGGCAGCAGCATATCCCGATTCACAGGTCTTGCGTCCCCATGTGATCAACGCAGCGGAAGTCGCGGAAGATGTGGTTCTGACCTACTGTGGCCTATCCAACTTGGGCATCGCTTATACCCCCAAGCTGGGTGGGAAGCCACTGGATCTGCATCCCATGACGCAGATGGAGAACAACCTGGTGATGTACGATAGGAATAGCATGGAGCCAGTGCAGCAACTCTGGGGCACCACCGAAAGTCGCATGGAGTGCCAGTGCGGTTTGAACAATGTGGAGCGAATGAAGGAATGGCCCACCTATCGGATGACCCTACAACAGTTCTGCAAGGCTTGGCCGGGATCCAAGGTCTTCATGAATGACTACTCCACCAAAGGCCTGAAAACCGAGATCTGGCAAAATCCGATTCTCTTCATCTATGATGGCATGATGGACGTGATCTTCAACACTTCCATTGTGTACCAGAAGACCAAGGAAAAGCCCGTTTTTCCGACCTTGAAGACCAAAGACAATCGACTTCCAAACAAGGAGAACGTGTATGTGGTGCCAGTGGAGGGTGACGATGTTGCGTACACCAAAGCATTTCTGCAGGAAAAAAAACTCATTAACACCAACATCGGAGGAAGGAAAGTTGTGGTGGCATACTTCCCGGAGTTTGATAGCATTGGGGCGTTCTACAACACCACAGGCCAAGCAGTGAACCAGTTGGACTTCTATGGACGTTTGAAGAATGGACAGAAACTTTCTCGTGTAGAAACTTTCAAACCTGGCTGCTTCTGGTGTGTTTGGATCAATTGGTTTCCCAGCACAGATTTGAATCGTGTATGATACGGTGAGACATGGTATATTACATGATGGATTTACATGGTGTATATTCCTGTACAGCTATTTTTAACTTGAGGTTCCTGCACAACAGCTGCAGGGATTTATAGCCGGGTTGCCTTGACAGTCTTGGCCCTCAATCCGGCGCCGGTGTTCCCATTTGAGATTTAGCACTACATTCAGGAAAGCATAGCGATGGGTGTGCTGCACTGAGAAAATCATGAAAACCATCAAGACTTGCAAGACTTGTACCAAATACCTCTCATACCTCTCATACCTCTCATACCTCTCATCATGGCTCAAGTTTCGGCACTTTCACCCTCATCCAGCCTTTAACAAGACCATACAGGACCCAATTGCAACTTGCAACTTGGACTCTAACCATGGGCGCATTTTGGAACACTGTTTTGCCATAGCCACAGCTTTTGAAATCCTTCTGGCACTAAGGACATCAGCCGCTATCAGCCACTCCAAGGACGGCATGTGGCAACAGCCGAAAGATTTGTGCTGGGCCCAAAGAGTTGGTCCTGAAAGATTTGTGTTCGCACAAGCACAAGCAGCACAAGCAACTTTCAAATCTTTCAAGCAGATTCGTGGAACATATGGAACAAATTCAGTTGACACTTCATTTGTCTCCACTTCAATTCGGAATGAGGAAATGCTGCTAGGCAAATTTGGGTCGTGACTGAGCTCAACTGGTTCTGATGTTGGCCCAGGTTGAAAACACACATATACATCATATACACATGGGATATTGGCCTCCAGTAAGACATTCTTGAAGCTGAGAGCTACTGAAAGGTCCCCGATGAACATGCTGAATATGCAGCTCTGAGGTAAAAACGCATTACTTTATCCAGTCTCAGTCTACGATGCTGCTTCCAAGATTCTCATTGGAGACAATTGTGGAGGTTTCACTGCAGAGACTTTTCGTTGCAGAATTTCACTGCGACATGAAACCACGAGCATGGCCCATGGACAGATATCAGCCAATAGTTGGCTGAAGGGAGCTCAGGTACAGAGATTCTGAGACCCCAATTGATCCCTGTTTTTTCAGAAACGGTGTTTAACGGTTAACAGCTGATCTGAGGTCAGGCATTTTCGGACATCTCTACGCCAGGCCAGGATACAAAACATCCCATCTCAGTTGGAGATGGCTTTCTCCCCCAATGCAGTGAACATCTCCGCAGATGCTTCATATTGGCCTGAACATATGAGGGATTATGAGGGTATACGGATATAATTTAGTATCATGGTTTAGCTGTCCTGTTGTTCATCATGACTTGATGCCATCATGTGACATAAATATACATAAATATACATAAATGATCATAAATCTACATAACATGTCCATCATATTTCATGATGTCATGCGTCCGAAGATTTCTCAAAGATGCTCAGCGTTGATCCCCGCTAAGTCCATGGCCTGGTGGAACGGCAAAGGCTGGAGAGGTGAAAACGATTGGGAGAAAGGAAACGGCAAGAACGGCAAGCACGGCCAGAAAGGCCCGAAAGGCCAGAAGGGCCAGAAAGGAAAAGGAAAAGATGGAAAAGATGGTAAAGATGGTGAAAGAGAAGGGAAAGGATTCAAAGGATGGCGAAAAGAAGAGTGGTATCCTCAAGAAGAGGCTCGAAGTCAACTAAGCAGTGAGGCTGCTGATTTCATTCCCTCTGGTTTGTATGATTATGACGTTCTATCTCATCAATATTGGGATATGGCCGAGGAGGCTACCTGGCGGGAATTCGCAGATCATGAGGGCACCAAATATTACTACAACTGCAAGACGGGTCTCACCCAGTGGGAACGTCCGGCAGAGCTCGACTTGCCAAAGCCCGAGTCCCCAAAGCACCAGTCTCCTGAAAAGGGCAAGGCTGGCACGGGCAAAGCCAAGGGCTATGGTGGCTACCACGGCGGTGATGCACAGGGAGCCCCAGCCTGGGCGAAGGGCGAGAAAGGTGAGAAGGGCGAGAAGGGCAAGAAGGGCGAGAAGGGCGAAGGAAAAGCTCGGAAGGGAAAGGATGGAAAGGATGGCAAAGGCAAGAAGGAGAAATCCAAAGAAAAGGATGATGCAACTTTTGGCCCACAGGGATGCAATTTATTTGTGTTCCATCTGCCAGACGAATGGGGCGATGAAGACATGTTGGAGCAACTTCGCTGCAAACCTCTGACGTACAATCGAGCACACAAATGTTTGAAAAATTTGAAATCCAGTGATCTGAAAAAATCATTGCACCGGGTGAGGATCAATGAACTTGTTCCTGACAGTGTGTTGGGTTCAAATATTGTTATTGAGTAATTATCCATCATACCACCGTTTCCGCCATGTTGTATCCTCATTGAAAAGCTCTAATACTATATAAAGAAACTGTTTCGATGATTTGTTGCCAAGATCTCACACGCACATCCAGCACATCCAGCACATTTTTCGCTGAGTTCCAAGGTACTTCTCGCCACATGGGAAGATTGTGAGTGCCAAGGTCATGAAGGAACTTGGCACTGGCCGTTCTCGTGGCTTTGGTTTCGTGAGTTATGAAGCCCAAGCTGATGCAGCCACAGCCATCCGAAAGATGCACGGATATAAAATCCAGGGAAAACGTTTGAAGGTGGAATTCAAGAAGGGTGAAACCACTGAGGAGCCCAAGGAAAAGGCCCCCAGCGCCGATGATGAGCGACTCATCGGATATTTAAGGGCCATCTCTGCTCAGTCTGTCGTACAATCCCTGAAGAGCACAGAGAAGAAAGAGTCAAAGTTTGAGCCGTTGCCGTTTGAGCCCTCCGGTGCCCCCGTTGACCCCGTTGACCCCGACCCCGTGTCGGTTGAGGATCCGCCGGGAAGTCCCGCGTGAAAGCCGCCTGTCAGGTGTGCCCGGGCGCCGAAACCGTTTCACTGCGATACATTTGGTTCCACGTTTCGAAAAGTTGCCGGCGCTGGTGCGCTGTGTGTGTGTGTAGGGTATTTGTAGGGCATGTGAAGAGTGTAGGGTGTTTTGGTGTTTGCAGAGCAACCGGCCTTTTTGCATGGCACCACAAGACTCATCACAAGGTTTGGCACTTGAAGATAGCTATGATTCGTTGCATCATGGAAAGAGGGAGGCTTGGAGGTATGAACTTCAAAGGTGTCAATGAATTGGTATACGAGAAACTTTGGTTTGCCTCTCTAATTGCAGCGATGGGTTCTTCCTAATTTGCTTGAAAGCACTCTGCTCACATGGTACATACGGTACATCAATTCATCAAGTTCAGCGCTTTCGCAGATTTCCATGGCTTTTCGTGCCCAGCTCCTTTGCAGGTCAGCGCCGCATCAGGATCAGACAGCTGAGACAGGAGATGCAGGAGATGCAGGAGATGTCCGGGCATGTCCGGGCAGTTGTTTCTTGGCACCCTGAGGTTGAATTGAATGACCCCGGCCCCTCTTGTTATGTACCAGGATGTACCAGGATGTACTACGTACGTCCTCCTGAACTTAGTAATAGTATCAACCAACTTTGGCCTCACGAAAAGTTGGTTTGAACACACAGATTTACCAGTACGAAGTTTTACGAAGCATCGACAAAGTCTACTCCCTGGAGTAAGGCATCCTACGGCGAATTCCGCCAGGACAGCCAGCCAAATCGGCGGCTGAAAAGCTGCAGTTGCAGCCGGTTGCGATCACGGAGGGAAAAAACATCTTTGAAGTTTGAGCATTTTGAGCATTTGTCTGCAGACAAAGTGTCAGGGCATCCCACATCATCCATCATCATCCCATATGCCACTGATTCCACTGATTGGCAAATCAAATGAATCTTATGGATTCTTATGGAATCTTCTGTTTTTATTGTTTTGCAGCCGCAGATAGTTACAACGGGGATGGTGAAATCCAGCGTCCTCTCCTGAGAGCAACAAGGACCATGGATACCATGGATACCATGGATACCATGGATTTATCTGGATGTGTTTCTGATGTGTTTTTGGTGCCTGGAGACATCTGGAGACTGTGTGGCATCGATGTCGATGCCTTCAATGTCTGCACTTTTTGAGATTTGCTGATTTCAATCGGTCTCCAGATCAATGAAGTCTTGCGCGTTCTATATGTTGTGTTTGAATGGAATGTGTTTGATGCAATCATCCAATCACTTGGGAAAGTTCAAATGCAACTGGCCATACTGGCCTCGACTGCTACATGATGCTACAGAGAAGTTCTGGCGTGACATGAGGCATTTGTGATCAGCGAGCCGCTTGATGTGCCTGTGGTCCCCAAGCAGGTGCCGCTCTACTCAGCCAAGGACTGGGGAAATTTTGCACTGCTTGGAAGGGCAATGTTGGCAATATCTGGCACCAGTCCGTGGCAATATGCAACAATAGTATACACACTTTTCAGATGAGATTGGCAAATCTTGTTGGTTGCGTAGCAGTTTTCATCATTTGTCGACTGCATCTATGCGATTTGTGGAGCCTCCAGGACCCCACCAAGCGTGTGGCGAGGGCAGTGCTAAGCATTGGTCGATTGTTCTCGGCTGAAGCACAGGAACGCGACATGGGGAAAACTCGGCCGAAAACTCGACGGTTTTCCGGACATGTTGGGTTATGACGCTTGACATGTTTTGATGCTTTGCCTGGAATTCTTCCAAAGTTCATCTAGACCTTCAACAAGCCCCTTTTGGAATCTTTGGACACGTCGTACTGTCGAACATGACATGTTGCCAAATTATTGTTCAAACATCACCGTCCAACGAATGCATTTGGTTAGCATTTGCTCCAAAATTTATAGGTTGTATATAGGTTGTACATAGGTTGTATATAGGTTGTTAAATGTTAACATAGTTGACATTGACCCAAACCATTTTGGCATTCCCACGTGGATGAGTTGGTTTTTTCCCCAGGCGTTGCTGGCCCGAAGCTTGGCACAGCGTGTAGTGCAGCTGCTCCGAGAAGGTGCATTGCTGCTGCATGGCGCATGGTAAATCTGTGTTGGTGGATGCTGGTGGCATTGCTGGGTGCCAGGACCACAAGTACCAGAACTGCAAAACGCCTTGGATGCCTTGAAGTCCGAGTCTCAGAGATGTTTCTGCGGCTTTGCAAAAGCACTGGAACTTCTAAGAGATGATACTTGGGACTTGGGATACTTGTTTTTCGACTCGTGGTTTGCTGATGGAAGCGACGAAACTTCATTGCAGTGGAATGAGCGCAAAGAACACATGTGGTCATGTCGGTAAAAATGTGTATACCGTATACCATATCGTCTACCAGTGTAGTAATTGATGCTGTCCGACATGTTCAACATTTCATCCCAATTTGGGAACATGATCCAAAGGGAGTCATATTCGACGATAAATTCAAACCACAGAGACCGCTTCGCCCAGGCCTTCAAACGGGTGGTCTGCAGCCGCTGGGATCCCACAGGCGTCTGACCAGGGTCCAAGATGAAATCGAAGGTTCCATGCTGACCAGGGTCCAGTGTTCAGGTGCTCTCTTCCGTGGAGACAAAAGGGAGGACCCGATATCAGAGTCAGTGGATGTCAATGGATATCAAGTTGGGGTACTTTGAATGAGGCTGCAAAATGAACCACACCAGCGAAGAGCTGCGGAAGACAAGTTTGAAGGGACTCGACATAAGGGTTATCGTGAGATATCAATACATTCGCAAGTCGAACCACACCATGCATCACATAGCAATATGGCCATACAGTATGGGTCAATATAGTAGAATATAGTATAATATAGTCATATTGTAGGAGAACATCAATGAAAATCATAGCATATCGCTGCCAAAGTCCAAAGTCTGATCCACATGGCACAGATTTGGAGGACAGCCATACGCCTCGCAGTGGATGGAGGACATTGGGAATTTGTTCATCCCCTTATCGAGGCCGAAGCCATCAGCGTTGCATCGCCATGTGACCCACCACAACTCGACAACGGAGGCCTGCTGCAACCTGCGGTGCCCTTCTCAGGACGCTTCACGTATAGTTTTCATAGTTTTCCTTTGGCATGGTGGATGTACTTCAAATTCTACCTGGCCGTGCTGTCGAAACCCAACAGCCTCATTGTTTTATATTGTTTCATGGTTTTTTCACTCACTGAAGTCTATTCTGAGTCATTCTGAGTCTATTCTGTTCACCTTTGGCATCCTTTGGCACCTGACCAGCAATCAGCCACTGGAGGATCTGCGATCTCCATTGACGGCTGCCTTGGAAAAGGGTCAGGTGCAGGCCGGGTCGGCAAGGATCGGCATGACATGTTGGACATGTCGACATCTGTTCACCAGAATCAAGAGTTTGGAGACCTGGCAGTGTCTGGAACTGAGGCATTGGAACTTGAAAAGTTGGGATTCAGCCAAGAGCAGCTGCAGTTGGTAGGTGCCCAGGGGCCCAGGGCCGTCTAGGAGTCGTAGCACTGGATTGGTGAGCTAGACTGACTTGGTATTGGAATTATTGGAAGCTACTAGTATGGTATATATAGCGCCATCCTCAGATATGTTGGCTCACCTTGGGGAGGCGAACTGAGCACAGCACTCAAAAATGCCGAGCAATTGGAGGACTCCAAGCGACTGGAAGGATCTGATAGGTCATCGGACAGGCTTGCGTTGGGTCATGGGGCAAGTGATGCAACTGATTGCAAATGATATCCAGATACACCCAGGTTGACCTATATGTGCCAATAAGTGTCCGCTCAACTGGTTGTGTTGGGGGAACGCCTATGTGTGAGGGCCAACAGTTTTTGGGATCTCGATCCATCAGACTTGGATGAACTTCCGGAGCACTTCCAGCGAAGGACATGGCACCGCGGTTGGCCTTTCACTTTGCACCCGACAGCGACAGGGGACCTGGTAGCTTGGTGATTCATTGATCGGATTTTTATCGGCAGTCTCTCTTGATGATCAGTAGATTCTCAGTAGATGTCATTGGCCTGCGGACATTTTCAAAGATTTCGCAGGTAGCCCTTCTGGATCATCGGAGCGGTGCGAGACTGGGATCCTGTGGGTGGCCGCATCAACTCCTTGAGTTTCAATGGGAACCGGCTTTCAATATCCGATTGATCCTATGTCTTGCTATGTCTTGCTCCTTGTTTGATGCCGCCTTCTCAAAGTACGGTAAAAATGGTAAAATGATGCCTTTTTTGTGTGCTGTACCATGCTGTACCATCATGCCCAAATTGGTGGATCAGATTCCATGGTTCCACCGTGTTCCACCATCTACAGATCGGGAATCTGCAAAGTCCCCCAGCAGTTGTGGCGGAGGTCGCACATGCCACCACTTCCGCAAGAGGCAACGTATGACTGCCAGTTGGCATTCAGGAGATTTTTGTCAAAGAAGCTGGCGGACGTGGGTCATGTTGCTTTTAGATGCTTTTAGTATGTATCAGCAGTATCCACGAGTCACTCAAGGGTGCTTTTTGTTATTTTTTGACACTGGTTTCAAACAAAGACACTTTTGTCATGATTGTGTAATGTGTGCATTGTTTGAAGTAAGTCGACTCTTTCGCATAGCTTGGCACGTTGCCTACACCAGCTTGACATGATTTCACTTCACTATGCAGAACCCAATAATTCAACATCATTCAACATCCAACTAAGAAACAAGGAGAAGACATCAACAAAGACTGTTTTGCCGAAACAATAATTAATAACCATTTGATCTTTCAGATTCTTTCACAATTTGATATGTCTCATGTTGGACTCCAGGCATCTCGGATGTCCGTGAAAGCCACGGATTGGCAGCACACTCAACCCGTGATCTGACCGAAACACGATGGAATCCGCGAAGCAGAGCCAGCTGAGGTCTCCAGATATCTTCATCCTTGCATTGGACTATTGCCGAAACGGGACCGCAGATTTCAATAGATTTCAGTCAAAGACGAAGTCAACGAAATCAACAAAGTTGCTACAGAGAGACTCTACTGTGACATACTGTGACCACTTCGTGGAACGTTGTCTCAAATCTGGGTTGACTAAACCGCTTTAAAACCCCATTTCCATCTATTTCCAAACTTCAAGAATCTCAAAACATCAAACTATATTAAGAAACAGCGAGCTGTCCGCCATACCAATCATGCCAGACTTGTTGCTTCTTGTTTCATCTGTTTCATCCCAGCACTGTCCAAATTCCCGCCATCTGTCGCAGGAGATCTAGACGTACCTTTCTTTTCCAAGCAGATGCTTCTGCCGCCATTTGGTGTTGCTTGCATGATTATGGCCAGGCGGAATGATCAATCCAGTCCTTCGTAAAAACTCAGAATATTCATGAATATTCATGAATATTCTGTTACATATTCATCTATGGTTTCTTGATGTTTCTTGTCATATACATTCATATACTATCTCCACGTGCCTCCACCATTCTCTTTGGATCTCTTTGGTACCAAATTCTCGGCCAAATTCTCTAGGCGAGTGAGTCTGCAGTTGAACCTCCCTGCTTTGGCACGAAAGATGGCCATATGGCACGGACACCCAAAGTTTCACCGTCTTGTCAGGATTTGCCAGGGAAGTCTGAAAAAACATCACACTGTTGATTCATAAAGAGGGACCGAGCAAGATATGTTTCCCGGTGGATTTCGGGTCGGGTCTCGATTGCGCCGTATGCCACTGTCATTTTCAACAAAGGATTGGTCTTTCAGTTCCAGCACGAAGCACTGGCCTCAGAGCTGAACAGTGCTTCGTTGGGGCCGTTTCTGTCAGCTTGTGCAAGTACAGTTTTGGTCACTGCACAGATCTGCACAGTGCATTGACTACTGCTTTTGCGAGCTTTTGGTAGTTTTTGTGCATGTGTTTGTCCTACCCAATGATGACAGTGAGTTTGCCAACAGTTTGGTGTGCACTCAACCCCCCAAAAGGACCACAGAAATTAACAAAATTATCATAAGATGACAGATGACAAGAGTACTAGAAGGATTATAATGAAAATCCACAGATATCCGCAATATCATTGGCAAATAATAACATGTGATAATATAACACAATATAACTACCATCGTATTTCATCAGGATGATGCAGCACCCGCTTCTGTCTTGCTCAGGTGGCGACCAGTCCCGGAGCATCTTGCTGGATGTTGGAATGCCCAGCATGCGCCGTAGGATGTTACATGCCATGACCATTTTGATCTCCGAGTCAAAGTCAACAAAAAATAGGAAGAATAAGGAGAGATCACTTTCGAAGAAAATCCATCAAACTAGGCCAAACTTGCCAAACTATATCAAACTATCATGACATATCAAAATCCACAAAAATCCCACGAGTTTCTTAAGACTGCTCTTAGAAGCGCTCCACACTGTCAGGCGCCTCTATACGGTGATGACTCGATCTTGGGCCGTGTAGTGGAGCGAGCTGCCCGGGGGCCTAAAGCAGCTGGAATCAACTCGTGGAACTGTGGACCGGTTCTTACGAGTTCTTAAGCTTCATCGAACTTCCAAGTTTGAAACTATCAAAAATGCACCAACCGGATCAATAACATGATCAATCATCTATGCTTTGCCCCCATTTTTTCCAGCAGTTGACTGTCTATTTCAGCAGAATGCCATTGGTATTTGGGTTTTCCATGGTTTTCCCATGATTGAAAAACATTTGGACCATGGACGTTTGCCAAGGCTGAAGACGCCGAATGGCTTGGCGTTGCCAGGCAGTGCGGCTGGAGCGGTGGTCAGTAAATCTGTCGCCTCTGGATTCCATTAGGATTTTGGTCACTGTGCTGCAGTAAGTTTTCAGCATCAAGTGTAGTCGTTCTGCAATTTTACTTGTTTCCCACGATAGATTTGTTTGTTGCATTTCGGAAACGAAGATCTCCCGCTGCCAGGGCGCTTTTGTCAGTTGGCGCCAGTGGTACAGCAACCTGCCATGGGCGGCCTTTGTACCTCTTCGCACAAGAACAGGCGATGTGATGATGGTTGACATAAAAATTACACTATACAATGTGAAGTTGGGTTTCAAGATTTTCAAGGTCGTCAGCTGCCCGGAGTTTGAAGCCAAAAGCTGTTGGTGTGTGGTACAGCTTGGGAGATGCTGGTAAACAACATTGTACAACTGTATAACATTGTGTATAGTTGTTTCTTCTTGAATTGATACCAAGAGGTTTCATCATGTTTTATCCTCTATATGAAATCAAGAACCTGCTGGAAGTTGAAGTTTTGAGGCGGAAAAGAAGACACGAGGATTCAACGACTTGTTGGCACCTCTGCTGGCCCGGATCGGTCAGGCAAGGTGGAACAGGTGGACACTGCATCAATTGATTTTGATACATCAATGGATAAACAGTTGATGAATGTTGTTTTTCACACGTATCACTGTATATACATACCCTTTTTCACTTGTACTACCGTGTTGCAATGGCTCAAGCAAAACAAGCATAATTGCTGTGTCTTTCAGGTTGATTTACCTGTGAAACAGGTTATCAGCCATAAGCTAACTTCTCTTTTGTAGGCAATGTCTGCCCCCTCGGGTTCTTCCACCGAGGGCACCGGGCGCATGTCCTCTGACGCCGCCATGGCCAACCCCGGTAACTTGCCTATAAGTAACACCCCATTTAATTTTGATATAAGCACCCCACCATCTTCCGATAAGTCACGAAGCCTAAGGGAACGCCGCCACTTCCCACCCATGGGTAACGCAATTGTGCCTTCCCATGTGGGTTTCAACCACCGTGGTTGTGTTCCCCAAGCCGCTCGGGAGGGTGGGCCGCCGACTCGCCAGTTGAACCAAATGAATGTTCACAATACATTCCATCACAATGTGCAGATGGATAATCCTCAAGTCAATTTCGTCGAGCAGAACTTGCATGTACATTCACATGATCCTGCAATGACAAGCCTTGTGGAAACAGCGGCCGAGCTCCGTCATCGTGAGGTGTTGGCTCACACCGAAGCTCAGGCCGAAGCCGTCCACACAGCCAAGACTGAGGAGTTGAAGGAAGCTCTGCGAGTCCGCGAGGGCATTGAAAGTCAGAGGGCCCTTGATGCTATCAGAATCAAAGAACAAGAACTTTTAAATGCGGGTGCTCAATATAAAGAGAACTTACAGCATGAGGCGCATGAACATGTAAGGTTCCGTGAGGCTCAGATGAATGAGAAAATTCAGGCATATCAACGTGTCATTGATGCTAACCATCGACAATCACTATCAAGTAAGGAGCAAGAGATCCTTGAGTTGAGAAGAGCAGCTGAGGAAGAGAGAAGGGTTCAGAATGAGCGCATTACCCAGCTTGAACACATGGTACAAGCCCAGATGCAACACAATCTGAAACTGCAAAGTATGCTCGATTCCCAATTTGCTCAGGTCCGTCCAAGTCCGATTGTTGAAACTGCCGCCATGACCATCACAGCCGGAACTCATGCACCAACGGAGATCCCAAATTTTGAGTTTGTTCCACCAACCCGCAAAGCTGCACCTACAGCGCCTCCGACGAGTGTTGCCCGACCTCCTATTCCAAGAGCACCGATTAGCTTTACTTCACCTGGTACTGAAACTTATGAAAAGGATGGTATTGAGATTATTTATCATGATCCATCATATCGAGTCCCAGTTCAAGTGAAGAAGGAGTCGGATGTTGCAAGGTCTTCCGCTGAGGAACGCCCTTCGGGAGGAGAGGCCAATAATCGACGCCGAGATAACCATCCCATGGATAACGTCAATTCCCCTGCGCCGACAAATCAATATGCCCCGACCGAGCTAGGCCCAGATGAAGTGGACTACTTCGAGCCGGGGGAAGACGATCTGCCAGATGGTGACGATCCTGGGGATGGAGGAGATGGCAACGGAGGGAACGGGGGAGGTGGACCACCCTCACCACCTGATGACAAGCCGGAGGGAAATAAGGGTCGTAAGATTCCCAAAAAGAAAAGGAATGATCCAAACCCCCCCGACGGTGGTGATGACGGTTATGATGATCCCGATGATGGCGATGATGAAAAGTTCAGGCGAAGAATGATCAAATTTCTTGGTGGTTACGTTGACCAAAGGCATGACGATAAACCCAAAGTCAAGGAAGCTGACACCATCAAGATTCCAGCATTCCCATTGGCAGAAACCTATCGCAATTGGAGAATTAAGACCAGAGAAGCAGTTGTAGCAGCATCAACCGATCCCGATAGTGCTTTCAAGTGGATTAGTGATTCTTGGAAAGAAGAACAGACCCTTGAAGCGCTCCGGAAGGTTGCGCCGTTTGCGACACTTGATGCAAAGTTACTTTCTGCACTCACCAATATTATCACTGGTGACTTCGCCCGCAAGGTTGATACCTTCAAAGAGACTGAAGCCACCGCTGGACGAATTGTAAGAGGGAGACAAGTGTTGTTCATGTTGCATGACCACTTCAGTACAAACATCAAGCACGGAGCAACCTATGCCCTTCAAGATTTGTTCAGTGTCCAATTGCGTGGGGAGAATTTGAAGTCTTTCATTTCAAACTGGGATCCAGTGTTGGCTGGTATTGTCCAGGCTCCTGACGAAAGTGTATTGGAAACACTCTTCTACAAACAAGTGAAGAATTGTAAGGCCATCCAACATGACATGAATGAGTATCATAGAGCTGATGAAGGAACCGAAAAACGGAACTACAGTTTTCTTGTTTCTGCCGTGCGACGCCACCTTGACCGTGAGAGGTTGGAGGCAAATCGTGATCGAGTTGCCAAAGGTCTTTCGGGTGCCGGTCGTCCCTCCGCTCCTGCAGTCGAGGGTAAGACAGGTTTCATTCCCAAGGGGTATTGTGTGGCATGGAACAAGGGAGGCTGTAGTAAGGACAACTGTACTTATAAGCATGAAGTCCCCAAGCCACGTGACAGAAGTCGCAAGCCTAGCAAAACCAGAGGTCGCTCAAGTGAACGTTCTGGTTCTCCCAAACCAAAGGGGAAAGGTAAGAAGATTTGCAAGTTTTGGAAACAGGGACGTTGCGATAGAGGAGCTGATTGCAAATTCCTTCATGAGGGTTCAGTGGGAAAGCCAAGACAAGCTACTCCTGCCCGTTCGGCCAGTAGTGAAAACAAAAATAAAAAGAGAAATCCCAAGAACCCGAAAAGGAAGGGATCCCGAAGCTCTAGCCGCTCTAAGAGCCCCAAGAGCCCGAAGTCCCCGAAGTCTAAAGGATCCGGGGCCAGTTCACCTAAGCCGTCTCCTGCCGCAGTTTGTCTTGTTGCATCCATGCTTGCATCCGTGTCTCAGGCATTTTGTATCCCTCAATCAAGAGTATTTTGTCCATCGATTCGTTTTGATGATTCACCGGACGTATCTCATGTTAAAGTCCGAGGGAACTTGAGGCCAATTGGAAACGCAGTCACCAAGGATAAGGTTACCTTTCCATGGGGACATCAATTTGAAGTTGATCAACTTGCTGTGAATGATGCCGCTTTGACCGGTACCATGTTGGCAGGATCTGTTTCCAATTGTCTTCGGGGAATAGAATGCAAATGTGCCTATTTATGTGACACAGATTTTGGTTGCAATGAATGTATCCCAAAGGGAATCAAAGCTGCCCCTGCGGAATGTAGAGAAGACGTGAAGGGAGCGATCAACCTCGAACTTGACTGGATTGCAGATACGGGGAGTGCTCAAGATCTTGTCAATGATAGCGAATTGCCAGATGACTATGGATACTACTCCAACAATCCCATTCGCATGATTACTGCCAATGGTGAAAGTTCGTCATCGAAACAAGGGAAAGTATTTGTTCCGAAGTTAGGCAAGACCATTGACCCATATCTTGTTCGAAGCTCACCTCCCGTCATTTCAGTCGGGATGAGATGCATTGATGATGGTTACGACTTCATATGGAGAGGCTCCAAAGGTGAACCTCCTCACATGGTCAAACCAAATGGGGAACGCATTGAGTTAGTTGTCAGAGATTACGTACCCTACTTTGCAAATAATTCAAAGACGATTTCCGCTCCATCAACTCAGCCTAGACTAAGTATTGCCACCCCGGCATCAGATGAAGCTCAGCAATCTCCGGAGCCCGATGGGGACATTGAAATCATTGGTGATGACCCCATGGGTATTAATGTTGACTTACCGGAGCCCCAGCCCTTGGAGGCTGAGGAGGTTGATGTTCCTGATGCCGACCGGGAGGTTGAGCCGCCTGTGGAAGGATCCAAGGGTAGCAGTAGTAACGTCCAAGATGATGGCGCTCACAAAAGGTCACTAGGGGAGAAAGATTTGAAAGAAGAAGCAAAATCTATTCGACATATGCTGACTCACATCCCTAAGAACCCTTTTTGTGACATATGCACCAGAGCTAAGATGTTCAAGCCACCCTCAAGAGCTGTAGGCGGATCAACCAAAGTTAAAGCTGAGAAATTTGGTGACCACATCACTGCTGATTTTATTGTCACCAGAGATGAAGATGAGTTGGGGATCGATGAAGAGAAAAGTGCACTCGTAGTGAAGGACATAGCAACAGGATTTATTTATGTCTACCCCAATGCCAGACGAACCACCAATGCTGCTATCTTGGCAATTAAACATTTTGTTGGACATGAAGATAAGATAGGAGTTTTCTACAGTGACAATGCACCCGAGTTGATCTCAGCAATGAAGATCCTTCAGTGCCGTCATGTCTTAAGTAGGGACTACATATCCAAGTCCAACGCCCAAGCCGAGAGAGCGGTTCGGTCAGTTCTTGAAGGCACTCGTGTCAATCTGCTCCAAGCAGGACTGAATCATTGGCACTGGCCGCATGCTGCCCGACATTGGTGCTTCATGCAGAATGTCATTGCAACGGGGGGAGACAAATCACCATGGGAATTACGTTTTGGATCGAGATTTGACGGTCCCCTCATTCCTTTTGGTTGTCTTGTCGACTATTGGAATGGACCAAGAAAGAAGAACAAGGATGGGCTCCGTTTCGACCCAACATCGAGCCCTGGTTTATTCCTTGGCTATGCCATTCACCCCGAATTCATGTGGAGAAAAGAATTCATGGTTGTACCTACAAAGGATCTTATTGAAAATGAATCCAATGGTACTGCATCAATCCTGCGGGTAATCAAGATCAACAAACCGAGTGATACGCAATTTCCTCTCCAAGGCAGAACGACTTTTGGAAAAGATGACCCGGGACTTTCCGAAGCTCTGGGGAACCAAGAGCCGGCTTTGGAGGATCAGGATGCAAAAATGGATGATGATGACGAAGAATCCCAGGAAGAAAGTTTCCAATTATCTACTGCCCATGCCGTCCACGATGAAACATGGCTACCCTTCATGAGACAT